ATAGTAGTTTATAGACTGTCCTTAACTAAAGGGTTAAGCAACCCTTACTCCTCACAAGTCTTCGCAAAACAAATGCCTCTGCGGAGCGTGTAGGCAGTTTGCGTGGTAAACTGTGCAATAAGCAACGAAGCACAATCCAACCTATTTTTAAAACACAACTGTTTCAAGTGAAACTATTGTCCAAAGGTTGTGGAGATTTATTTTCCAACTTGTTCGTAGGACGTTTTGTTGTAAGTCTCGGTGTTTATAGAAAACATGAGTCACAACACTTTTGGTGATGTGGTTGAAACAAACATGAGCAAACAAACTGAATCCTCTGAAGCGACACAACTTGTTATGCTGGAGTTGTTCTTTTAGGCGGCAGGTTGTAAGAAGTTATCTGCTTGTTAGATTCACGTTTTACTTGGACCACTGTCATACGCACGTCAGTGAACCACATTCATGGATGAAACATTTTATGTTTTGTGCATTTTACATGTCAAGTGGTGGGTGGAAGGGAAAGACCTTTCATCTTGGGAACGCTCCCCAAATTTTTGCACCCACCCAAACCTGCGGTTTTACCCACCCCAAAAATTGCGGGGGGGGGAGATCGACACATGCTTGAACCAGAGCATTTCTTTTGAACTAGCCTTCATGCGAAGCATTTGGGAGGCAACCAAAAACCTTGGATCAAAAGATAGATCCGACTTGGAAAGATTTGAGATTTCCCCATGTTTGCCGGTCGCGACAAAAAGACCGAGAGCCGTTCAATCCACTGCAGTGATGTTTTCTCATGTGCTGACGGCCGTTTATTTAAAGTTTGGGATGTTTTGTTTCGCATAGGCTTAGACGCTAAGTTCGAGATGTTTTTGTTGGCACGCGCACGTGCATATGTATCGCATACAGGTGAGAACATGTAGTGATACGTTATGAATATGTTTACCACGTTGCTTTCTGGAAGGTTTTGCATTGTGAGGAGTTTGAGTTAGTCATTAGTCTTTAATTGACATTGGCAGCAGATGAGATTGGATATTCATTTTTACGTGCTGCCCTGTGTGACCACAGCTCGCTGCGCACGACGTGCTGCTTTGTTGTTCTGGGTGCATCAATCGGTTGCATTCTGCGACGTTTGTGTCGTGGCGGAGCTTGAAGGCCTTTGCTGCATGACTTCACAAAAGGGAACCTATTTTCTAAACTTTCAACGCCCCGGCATGGCGATTCAAATCAGGATTTGGAGGACGTGTTTTGCCAACGAAAAGTGTTGTTACAGCTGCAAGCTTCAGTGCCCTACAAGGAGCTGTGTTGGTTTCTTCTTTTCATGACAAAGATGCCGAGGATGTAAAACAGAAACAACTGGAGGAGAAAGCTGAAGAGCGTGAAACGTTTTCCATGGGTCAAAAGAGCCTGAGAAGGTTAAGGTGGAAATAATTGAAGGTTGAAAGACAGTTCAATGCCCAGTGAGCATGCAACTGGCATAGAGCTTTCACAATCTGCATCAGGTCGACCCAAACGACCTGGTGAAGTTGAGGTTAGAAGCGTTTTTGATGATGCTGATTCCTCTTTTCTGCCCTCGATGGGAACTCAAGTTGATGTTGCTCAAGATTCTGGCATGTTTGCACCTGTGGCACCACTAGTAATTTCTGCACCCTCCAACTCCACGGCACCAGCATTCCACAGACTGAAGTTGTGGAGGACCATGATCTAAACGTGCCAAGCTGGAATCTTAGAAGAAGAAACAGAAGATCAATCAGATGAAGGAGTGCAATGAATCTATGATCAGAAGAGTCAAGGTTGGTGCAGATGAATTTGCAACGATAGATGACTGTGAGCATGAGCTTGATAGTAACGACTACATCCCAGAAGTTGAGTTTTGGGAAGATGAAGATCAGGTTGAGTTCAAGGATGTATACCAGACGCCTTGTAGTCTACAGCTTCTTTTTGGGTGGATCAACTTGCAGATGAGATTGAAATCCATCGACTGCTTTTAATGGGCGTTCTTCAGAGAAAGGAGGAGTGCCAGCATGAAGTTTCAGGCCATACAGCCCTGCGAGTGGATGCCATTCAACAAACCTCATTCCCATTCTTTGCCTCAAAATGCTGGAAGATAGTCTGGATAGCGTTGAAAGTTTGGGAAGTGACGGCAACAATCCATATCAAGTCCTCTTGGCAGCCTTGGACATTAAAGATGCCTTCTTGCAAGTGCCTCAGGAAAAATTGGTGATGGTTTCCCTTTACAACCAACAGTATGTCATCAGACGCAACCTTCCTGGACAGCGTCTTGGTGCGAAAGCATGGTATTGGTACTTCAGGAAATACATCAGTGAAACTTTGAACTGTTCATGGTGCGTGGAACAGCCTTGCCTTGCAAAATGCACAGCTGATGGAATTTCAAACTGCTTTGTGATTCACGTGGATGATCTTCTTTTTGCTGGCAGCCGTGACTTTTGGAACAACTAATTCTTGCCGGCAGTTATAAGCAAGTTCAATGTGAGTTTCAGTGAAATCAAGGATGATTGCAGTTCAATCTTTTTCCTCAAGCGACAGCAGCTGTTGAAACTCAGTGATGGTTTGCTGATTGTGCCAGGGACAACAACTGGCAAAATGGTGGCGTACTTCGAGAAGTTCTTTGGTGTGGCCAGGAACCAAAAGATTCCATGCGACAGCTCAATCCAAAATGATGACGAATCTCAGTTGCTGAATGATGGTGACAGCAAAGCATATCGCAGTGTGATTGGTTTGTTTCTTTATGTCGCAAGAGACCGTGTTGACGTGATGTATGCAATGAAGGAACTATCATCATGCATGTCTTGCCCTACCGTGTGCGCTTTGCAGAGGTTGAGAAAACTGATTGTTCATCAATGGCAATTTTGCATGTGCTTCAAGCAGAACCCAAAGAGATGTCTCATTGAGTTCAGCAGAGCCAGAGTTGCACAGCATGGTTTCAGGTTGCTCAGATGCGATTTTCTTGAAGCGTTGCATGGAGTTCCTTACAGGTGATCAAGTTGAACAATGGCAATGGGTTGACAACTCAGCAGCACGTCAGCTAATTGAGCGCCAGGGAGTTGGAAAGGTGAGACATCTCTCGGGAAAAATACTGTGGATGCAAACCCTTGTCCTTGAGAAACAGATCCATGTGGGTCAAATTGTAACTCAGTGGAACGTCAGTGATATAGGGACAAAGCCTTTGCCAAAACAACGACTCTTGGTGCTCCTACATCAAATTGGTGCATGCAATCCTGACACATTGAGCATGGTTGGTCAGGAGGAGCTCGATGCATTTGAGGAGAGAGTTGTTGGACAGCAGTCCATGAAGCGTTTGACAAGAGCAGTCTCGCGAATGGCTGCAATGTGGGGCCTTGAGCCTATCCTTCATGTTGGTGCAGAAGCTTCAGGTACTGAGGAGGTATGTCTTCAAGGTCAGGCTTCTGGAAATGACAGTGGAGATTTTTGGCTATGGCTTGCATTGTCTGCAATCTTCCTACTTTGGATTTGTTTCGCAGTTGCTGGATATCTTGCATGGCGAAAGGTCTCCAGAGATTTGTTCCATTGTTGGAAGCAGGTTGCAGATGAGGATGGAAATATATCCATGCAGGAAAAACGTATTGATGAGTTGGTGCAAAAGATTGAACGCATGCAAACCCAGATGGAACAGGACTATGCAATGCTTTCTGATCGAGTTGAAACTACAAGCAATGCAGATTCCATGACCCACGACTATGCGACAGGCTTACACTACAGCCTGGTTGAGCATGGGGGATTTCTTGGAAATGGATGTGGGCTCAGGCAAGCCCAATGGATTCACCTCACAACGTTGGAGAGAACAAATTTGATCAGTGCAAGAACCTTGGGATCAGTGGAGTATATGAGGCTTGTGCGCCAGCGCTTCACACCCCAAAGTATTTCAGAAGAAACTGATGATGGCCCTTTTGAAGGAGCTGAGAGTGAAGCCATGGAGCATGATGGAATCATTGAAAGCCCTGCTGGAGCAAATTCAGTAACAAACATTGTGGAATTCCTCAAGTCCGAACATTTGCAATGTTTGGAACATGGTGGCATCTGGGATGCCAATTTGGTGCAAAACACAATTCTTGGTTTCCTGGATGAGATTCGAACAGAAAATGCAAGAGAGATGCTTGGACGATGCAAAGAAAGAGTAGCTGCAATGTTTGATGAAATGTACCAAAAGGCAGTGGATCAAAACCGATGGGAAACAGCAGACCACTATCACGCAGTGGCAAACATCTACAGAAACGGATGAGTCAAAATTTTCTTTTTCTCACTTGAAAACTGTGCCCTTTTACAGATACAAAAGCTGGAAGGAAGCGCAAATGAACACAGAGAAATCCAAAACTGAGCTGAAGGCTACAGTATTGGAATGAAGAGTGATCAACATTTTCATTCCTACATTTGCCATTCAAACAGGCGGCAGTGATGTGAAACAGTTGTGACTGCAGAGGGACTGACACTGGATGACACGCACAAATCGAGAACAGACGTGTACAAATTTCATCCGTTGGCACATTGAAATTCTATGTGCATATTTAGGCCGTGTGGTTCAAAAAGGGTGACGCTGCCCGCTTCGCAGTTGGGGATTTTCAACATGTTCATGAATAGGAACAAAACCATTTCGGCGAAATTGCAATGTTTGCACGGGAATGTTGCCGTTTAAAAATTGCCCTAACTGGACGCCCTGGGCATGAAAAAAATTCAATTTGAATCATGAAAAATGTTTGATCATTCATCATGTCCCAATGTGTTGTCGATTTTTGAGCATGTTTCTCGGGAATAAACTGGCAAAAACGGCGAAAATAATCCAACATGGCAAACGCTTAGAATGTGCATGTTTTCAATTTTTGATTTTTTGCGTTGAAAAATTGTTGCTTAAAAATTGTGTTTTTTTTCCAAATGCTTGAATTGATTCAGCACCAAATGGGCATGTGGCAATTGTACTTTCATTTGCAACCGGGATTTTTTTGTCGGGGGATGTGGGTGTTGTGTGCCGACGTTTTGGTTCAAACTTAGTTGAACCAAATTTGCGTGACAATTCTTGACCGTTTTATCGTTAGTGATGGAGAAGGCTGCAGCGTTGCTCAAGGCCGTGCAATGCCACGATTGCCGTATCAGTGGTGAAATACATGCGATCCAGTTGTGTTCTGATGTGTGGAAAACATGGACAAAGCAGTGACTTGCACGCTATCAAAACCGCTTGAGGCGTTGCCATCTTCCAAGGTGGGATGCGAGATCGACATCATTTTGTTTGGGCAACAGAATTCGACGCAAATCATCAATTTGGAGGTGTGTGGCTCTCTCGACGCAGCCCAAGCCGCAGCAAGTGCAGCTGAGGCTCCCAGAAAGTGCATTGTTTTTTTGCTTGAATTTTGATTATACACAACGACAACTTCATTGGGAAGTGATTGTTGTTCCGCAGGAAGGCAAGTGCTGGTACATTGTGCAGCTGGGCAAGTCAAGCTTGTCGGAGGTGCATTCAACACATCATAGCAACAATGGACATGTTGTTTGCTTGTTGGTGCGTCCTTGGTTTTGTTTCTTGCTGGAAAGGTGCACTCAGCACTTCAGCAAGGATGTGGGCATTTGGGCGTGGTGCTGGTGGCCAGCCAAAACCCAGTGTCCCAATTGGAGGCATCCGGAGCAAAATCGTAAATTTCAGCGTTTTGAAGTGAGGTATTGCCAGGTTTGCTGATTGCAAAAGCAACCGCCATGACTTCAACATCGAAAAAACTGGTAAATGCAATTTGTTTTGTTTTTGACAGTCTGAAAATTCAGCAGTTTGTCTCTTATCGAATCGAAGGTCTTGCGAGCGATGGAGTATGGCGGCGTGTATGTCGCTTCTGCCGAGTTGGAGAAACCAGGCCTGGTTGTCAAAGTGCGCCCCCATGCCATGGGAACCCACAAAATACCTCAAATGTTTTCAAATGTGCAGTTCAGACGTGTTTTGGTATGTTTTTCCACCTAAAGGAGAATGCCTCAACGAAGCCGCAACTTTCACCTCTGGACCTTCATTGGTCTTGTTGGCTGAAGCAGCAGCGATCAAGGTTGGAAAATCAAACGGTGAAAATGTGAAACAATTTGAAACAACAGTGATGGGTTGCAAATTTGCAGTATCCAAATTCCAGATTCTTCGAATCCGGCAGCATGGGCCAGGGCGATGAGCGCTGGACTGCCTTCAGGTTCTGGGATTTGTGTCATATCCAGATCTTCTTGTGTCTGTGGGCAGTTGGAAAACCTACACATTGTTCGTTTATTGTTGCTTGACCCTTTTTGTGTTATTTTTGTGAATTGAGTTCAGTTGCTTCGAGTGCTGGAACAAAGCGCTGACTTTGGAATGATACCTCACAAATAATCACAAGTATCTATGTAATTATAAATGTATAACTATAGATAAATAGATAGATAGATGGATGGATGGATGGATGGATGGATGGACGGACGGACGGATGGATGGATGGATGGATGGATAAGAAAAATAGATAGATAGATAGATAGATAGATAGCTAGCTAGCTAGATAGATAGATAGATAGATAGCTAGCTAGCTAGCTAGATAGATAGATAGATAGATTAGATAGATTAGATAGATTAGATAGATAAGATAGATAAGATAGATAAGATAGATAAGATAGATAAGATAGATAAGATAGATAAGATAGATAAGATAGATAAGATAGATAAGATAGATAAGATAGATAGATAAGATAGATAGATAAGATAGATAGATAAGATAGATAAATAAGATAGATAAATAAGATAGATAAATAAGATAGATAGATAGATAGATAGATAGATAGATAGATTAGATAGATAGATAGATAGATAGATAGATAGATAGATAGATAGATCGATAGATAGACATAGACATAGACATAGACATAGACATAGACATAGACATAGACATAGACATAGATAAATATGTTATCAGACAAGGCCTTTGTGGAGTCAAGCCCATGTTAAACCCATGTTGACAACATCCAAATGTTCTGCATTTTTGCACAATGAACGACACCCTGAAGGTACGACCCTCGCAGGGAAGACCAAGGCAAGCAGTGTTGGTCTTTTGTTTCCTTTGTTCTTATGCTCTTCACACCGTACACATGTACACACACACAGAAAGTGAAGCTCCTGATAAAAGAGTTTGTGATGAAGTGTATTTTGAGTTTGTGGATTTGTGAGCAATTGTTCGTTGTCTACTGATACAATGTATATCATGTACATCATGACTTGTCGCAACTCTGGTTCTGGACGCAGGTGGTTGCGCATTTGTGACAGACAGCATCCGTGTCCGCGAAGAGATTCAGGCCATGGTTTTTCTCACAATGATTTTGGTGTTTTGCTGCAATGCTGTGATATGTTCCCATCATGTCCCTATACTATCCCCATCTGCGATGGTTGGTTTTATATCACCATCAAAGTTGAAAGTTGTGTTTTTCCACAATTGATGGTTTAAAATTCTAAGATTACGATAGTATCCTCAACAAATTATTATTATCATAATCGTAGCAATCACCATCACTATTACACTACTACTACTACTACTACCTACCTACTACCTACCTACCTACCTACCTACCTACCTACCTACTACTACTACTACTACTACTACTACTACTACCTACCTACCTACCTACCTACCTACTACTACTACTATTATAATTATTATTATTGTGATTCTACTATTATTGTTATAATAATAATAATAATTATAGTTAATATCATTGCTACTATAGATATTTCTATTTTTTGGTTGTTATTATCGTGGTTAGCATGGTTATTCTGATTTCTTATTTATGATTGTTGCCATTCTCATCATTGTGTTTTTTTGTCAACTACATACTACTTATTTTCTTATTGTTATTATTATTGTTGTGACAATAGTAGTTATCCTTACAATATTACAAACGCGGATAATGATCCCAATATCCCCATCCACATATATATGCTTGTATCACTGGTGGATGAGCATTAAGCTGTGGCATCGCTCCAGAGCATCTCACTTGGCTCATGAGCTTGACGGTTTTCTCGTCAGCTCTAGAGGTTGTAAGGGAGCTTAGATTTTGGTGGGTCCCCGGTTCATCATCTTGCTCTTTGCCAGCCATCTTACTTGGATTGATTGCTGTTGGGAGCCTCTGCTTTTGCTGTGGGTTTTTGAGTGCCGTGTGCATCCTTTCCCAACGGTGCCGATCTTGGGTGTGGCATTGCATTACAGCAGCAGGTCAGATCTGGATTGATTCACCGGTTCCCAGGGGGCAGCTCGAGCTGCGCCGACGTTTCCAAGAGTACTCGCACCGTGCATGAGCAGGGTGCTCTCCTGGCTGAGATCGGTTGGAACTTGTCTTTTTCCTGGGTGTTTTAGACAGAGGGTGCGTGATTTGAACTCTTTGCATCTCTTTTCCATCAACGCCTAGTTTTGCTCCACCGGATCATCCTTTGTTAGAACCAGCTGAATTGGTTGGGTTGCACCCTGACTTGGCATCGGGATTCAACATCTGGTATTGCTTGGCCAGAGATTGCTCTGGGCGTGGCACCCTGGAAATTGCATCAGCTCTTTCTCTCCTTCTTGAGGCACCTGGTGCGGCGCCGAGATCTACTTAGTGCTGATCCTGCTTGGACTCCAGAGGCGGAAGTTTTCTTTCGTGGTTGCTGGTTCACCGAATGGCCGCCGGAGGCCGCACTGACCCATTGAGCCTGGAGGACATTGATCGGGCCGTGCAGCGCGTTGCCCCGGGCAAAGTGCTGCCGACTGCAGTTTTGAGCGGATTGAGCGCGGGGTCTGACACCCGCGTCTTGGTGTATCTTTTGAAATGCCGTGCAACCGGCTTTCTGGTTTTGCTGCCTGCTCTTGCCGAAGTGCAGGAGATTCTGGAGTCTCTTCAGGATGCAGAGGGCAATCCGCTTGTGGTTTCCAAAGATTTTTCAGTGGCTTTAGAAGATGCAAGAGGTCGCAAATTTGGTCACGGAGACATGCTGATGGCAGATTTTGCTGCCGACTGCTGCAGCTCGTTTTATCGAGCTCCAGTGCTGCGAGGTGCCGCACAACAAGGCCTGCTTCGGCTCATGGTTGGCGCAGCAGTGGCGCGGCCTGCATCGCGCTCTGCCCTGGCTCTGGCTGCAGAATGGATAGCCGAGATGGCCGAAGCAGACGAGGCCATTCTGGAATATTTCACAGCAGAAGATCCAGGAGATTCAGAGCTTGTGCCAGACGGTGCTGGTGGCTTGTCCAGTTCCCATCCCGAGCCCGGATTGGGTGGAGTGGATCACGATGTTGTCCAACAGCTACAAAACCGCATTGCAGAGCTAGAGAGGCAGGTCGCTCCTGCTTCACCTCAAATGCCAGTTGTGGACTTAGAGCCTCGACCACACGGGCCTGGACGGTCGGTGCTGTTCGAGCCAACTGCGTTGACAACTGCGCTACCGTCGGGCACTCTGCAAAGGTTGAAAGAACTAGCAGGTCCTCCACCTCAGCGCTTAGGCAAACTGGAGAACGCTGTGAACCCTCCAGCGGCTTCCAACGAACAGCACATGTTTGCAGACGCAGAGGCGGGGGCCGTAGCCGAAGACGAGTTTGCTCAGTTGCTGAACTCCGCGAAAGATCCCCTGCATCAGTTGCTGGCCATGCAAATGAAGCAGACAGCGGCCATAGTTCAGCGGCTGACTCCCTCCAAAGATCCAATCAGTGCCGCGTTGGGCAACGACGCCGCCAGCTCCTCAGGCGGAGGTGTGAAGGGTTGTGTGGCACGAGATGCCTATCTACGAGCAATGGAGGATGTGAAAACAACCGGCAAGCTGATCGCTCAGAACGCTGCACAGGACCTTGGTCTACCTCAGGATCAGATCAACAGTGGCTTGATGCGGATGTACGTCGAACGGAGGATGCCGTTGGGCGATCAGCGATTGCTGACCTACATGTCCCAATTCCTTGCGGTGGGCTGGCAACTGAGCTACGAAGCACGCGATCAGTTTGCTATGGGGCTGATGGCTCGAGGCTTGATGATGACAGAGCAGATGAGCATCGACTCAGGCCGCTGCCAGTTCGGGTGGTTACTGGCTGCAATGCCAGATCCGAATTTGCAGGCCATCTCCATGAACAAGAGAAGGATCGGTTTGACTCCTTACGCCAAACTGGCAGCTGCTCCTTGGATTGCAGGGAACATAGCCTATCTTCGGGACCTCGACTACTTGGAAAGTCGTCTGAAAAATCCCAAGGGAGAAAAGGCCGAGAAAGAAGCGAGCACCGAAGACACTTCGGGTCCCAAAAAGCCATGGAAACCAAAGAAGCGCGCGAATCAGAAAGGGGGTGGAAAGGAGGATTCGACCGAGTCCACCGCCTAGTGAATGCTCAAGTTTTGCCTGAGGCCATGCATCAGCAGTTTGACCAAGGTGATGGCAGTTTTCGTGCAGCTCTTGACCCTAGGGCGAATGATCCTCTTTCATTTGGTCAGGATGCATCTAAGCTGCCTTCATTGTCTTGTGTTAACTTAGATGGTGTTGAGATTGAAAATCATGGAATGATCGATCTTAGTCCTTTGGCTGAACCAATCAGTTTTTTAAGTTTTGTTGGAGTGTTTTTGCAATCAGTTTACAAGGTGCATGCCGGCCTCGGAAGCTTTTTGCGGTTGTCGTTGCAACCTTGTTCCCGCACCGTGCACCGAGCTGCGCCAAGCTCGGATTTGTGGCCTTGTCCCATGCCCAGCTATCGATGGACAGGCCCCTCCAAACTGTCGCCTCGAAGACGTCGGCGTCGCAAGTTCGTCGAAGCACGATCATGTCTCCTGCAGCATGTGATAGGTGTGCTCAATTGGGAATCCTTAGGGCATCCTAATAAGCCCCCTCCTGAAGCCTGTGTTGGCTTTGGTTACTCTGATGCTCAGTGGGATATGGTGTGCCGGCTTGAACGATTAGTCGATCACTTCTTGAGAGCTGGCCCAATATCAGCTCAATCACTCGGCCGCAGTGGTGAAAAATTCAACAGATTGCTGCATGCCGCACAGGAACTGCCATGCGTGGAAGAAGTGGACCTGTTCAAATTAGTTTCTGAGTTTGCATCAGATTTCGATTCCTATACTCATAAGAGGCATAAAGGTGATGATCCAGGTTTGCATCGCACCACCACTGCTAGCACCATGAGTTCGGATGAAAAATTTTCTGAAATGGTGTCTCCTAAGGAAAATCCATCTGCATGCCTCGACTTGCCTAGTAGTTCTGCTAAGCCTGTAATCGCTGATCGGATTAAATGGGAACATTCTCCTCAGTTTGACCCCTTGCCATTTTTTGAAGATGCGATCGTTCGTGATGCCTTCATTGATCCCATGAGGGTTCGAGTGCCTGAAGAAAATTGGCCTAAGATTCCTCGAGGTAAGGTTCATTGTTCTAAAACTGAGCTTTTGAAACTTGCAACAAAATGGGATTCCAAGGGGGCTTGTAAGGTGTTTCGAGTGGATCAGATTCAATGGGATGAATGCGTCGGTCTTTTTGCTGTCCCAAAAGATGAGTCTTTTGACAGATTGATTCTGAATCCACGGACGGTCAACAGTCGGATGCAGTCTTTTTCTCACTACACAAGACAGTTGGCACCTGGTTCAATGTTCGCGTTGGTGAGGCTCCAGCCGGGTCAGGTTCTGCGAATTTCAGCTGATGATTTAGCCGAAATGTATTACACTATTAAGATACCTGAAGCTCGTGCTAAACGTAATAGTGTGGGAAAAATTTTTCAAGCATCAGAACTCCAGCATTTGTCTTGTTTTGATCCCTCGATTCACCATGGTCGCTGCGTCGTAGCGCTGAATGCGCTGGCTATGGGCGACAGCTGGGCCGTCGAATTTGCGCAGCAGTCGCATTGCAATGTTTTGAGCGTTTTGGCCGGTAGCATGTTTGAACATGAACGTGTATGCTACAGGAAGCCTTTTCCTCGCTCATTGTTCCTTGAATGGCTTTCCATAGATGATCATATAGGTTTGCAGATTGTCACAGAACAGCAATTAAAGGATCAGGTCCCCTTGCGTGACACGACTGTTTTCCAAAATGCGGGTAAAGCATATAAACAGGTGGGACTGGTTCAGCACCCTAAAAAGAAACAAAGGGAAGTTACAGAAGGTACTTTCCTAGGAGCTGAGATTGATGGTGTTCAAGGGTTTGTGTCTGCCCCGAGACATCGCATTTGTGCATTGATGATGTGCACAGTGCTTGTCGCGCGCCAAGGTATGGCCAGTCCGAGATTGTTGTCATCTTTGCTTGGTTGTTGGATTCATGTGCTGATGTTCCGGCGGCCTATCCTAGCAGTGCTTTCTTTTGCGTTTTCAGAAGGGCATGGCTTGCCTCAGAATCAGCTTTTCAAGTTGCGGCCTGAGACGCGCAACGAACTCTTGGCGCTTGCGTGTTTGGGCCCGGTCTGCCTGACCGATTTGCGAGTGGAGCTTGCACCTTTCATTTACTGCACTGATGCTAGCCCGCAAGGTGCAGGGATTTGCAGAGCTTCCGAAGCTGAATCCGTAGTGTCAGAACTTTGGAGACACAGTGAACAACGTGGTTATTATACCCAGCTGTTGAATCAGTCTGCAGAGATTTTATCCACTCTTGGGGAATCATTTGAAGATCCTTGTTCACATTTCGACGGTTCAGGTTGGACCGAATCTCAGCTCAGAATCCCTTGTGCTTTACCTGAGGGGCTATTGTTTGATTGTATTGAACTGTTTCGCGGTGAAGGCAATTGGACTTTAGCTCACGAGCATTTGGATTTTTCAGCTCATGATGGGTTTGATGTGAAAGGGGATAAATTGCAGTTTGGTGACCTTTTAGATGATTCAGTTTATCATCAGGTTGTAAGTTTGGCTGCCCGAGGGGTTTGCGGTGATTGGCATGCGGGACCACCCGGCAAAACATACGGGACGTTGAGACGCCCACGTCTACGTTCCAAAATTGCACCAGCTGGTTTTGATATGTCCGATTCACTCACTCGTGAACACACCCTCCTTGCTCTCAGGACAGCGTTTGTGATGAACCTTGTTTATTTGACGAAGCGATTCTTCAGCGTGGAGCAGCCCGGCTCATCGGTCATGTTCCATCTTGATATTTTTAAACGCATGGTTATGTCAGGGTGCATTATCACACGCATGTGTTTTTGCTCATTTGGTTCACCTTTCAAAAAACCTTCTAAATGGTTGCACAACAAGCCCTGGATGTTAGCCTTAGAGCAGAAATGCCAGTGCGATCCTGCTGTAGGCCATTTCGTAATCGAAGGTTCTTTCACTCGAGATTCAGTGGTCAGCTTTAACAAATTGTGTCGGCCTTCTGTTGAGGCTGTGTATGGCAGATCGCCGTGCCCGGGCGAAATGGTTTCAGCGTTTTCGGCATCATACCCAAAGCTCCTTTGTCAGAAAATTGCAGCTGGAGCTTTGCAAGCTCGACAAGGCTATGCTCCAGTGATTCCGCTGTCGGCCAAGCTTTGCTCACTGCAGCGCATTGGGCTTGATTTTGCTTTGCCTGCCGGAGTGCAGAAAACAGCAGTCACTGAGCCTCGGCCGTTCCATGAAGACCCCGAGTGGGTTGAAGAGTTGGCTGATTCTTTGCCTTTTTCTGAATTGTTGCGTTATCGTTTCAAACGCCAAGGCCATATTAATGTTCTTGAAACTAGAGTGCATAAAACCCTTATGAAATTTTGTGCAAAAGACCACCCGAACAGCAGGTTTCTGACTCTCCTTGATTCCCGTGTTGCCTTAGGTGCCACTTCAAAAGGTCGCTCAAGTAGCCGAGCTTTATGTAGGGTTCTGCAGGGTTCACTGGGCTATATCATAGGGGGTGGTTTATACCCAGGGGGATTGCACATTTCTTCGGGTAAAAATCGCAGTGACGCTCCCTCGCGGAACAGACCCGTTCCACCGGCGTCCAAGGATTCACCACCCTGGTTGATTGAACTGAGACGTGGCCGACACCACAATTTTGACACGGTGTTGGAAGCAGCTAAAGTGCCGAAGCTGTGCGGGCGCTGGCTCCGCCTTTTGCTTTTGTTGGGCGGAGATATCGAGCCGAACCCGGGACCAAAGCAGACAAAAGCTCAGGTTCCGAGAGGGCCCATCGACATGTCTGTCGGTTTTGCAACAGCTACCTCTCGTCGCATGAAGATTTGTCTAGCGGCTTTTGCAGAGTGGTTGGTCAGTGAATTTGCCCTGGACCTGAACCAACTTGGCTGGGATTACATGGCTGCACCACTTGCTTTAAGAGCCTATGGTATGCATCTGTTTGCAACTGGCAGTCCTAGATATCGTTTTGTGTACACGATCACAGCAATGCAAGATGCCTTCCCCCATTTGCGACCATTTTTCAGTTCTTGCTGGCAGATCGATCGGAAATGGCAACAACATGAGCCCGGTGAATGTCGACCGGTTTTGTCGCCAGCAATACTGAAAGCGATGACCTCGCTTTGCTTGCTCTGGGGCTGGTATCGGTGGCTTGGTGTAACCTTAGTGGGATACTTAGGCATGCTCCACCCTGCTGAGTTTGTGAACCTAGTGAGATCCGATTTGCTACTGCCTGCAGATTTACTGATGGATACGACAGTTTTCTATGTGCACATTCGGAACCCGAAAACGTCACGGTTCGCTCGAAAGCAACACAGCAAAATCGATGACAAAGTTGTGCTGGACTTTGTGACTCACGTGTTTGGCAAGTTACCATCAGATGCGCGTTTGTTTGGTGGCAGTGCGTCAGCGTATCGACGCCGTTGGGACCTTGTTCTGGCCAAATTGGGGGTTCCGTCTTCAATGCTGGTGCACGGCGCGACGCCGGGCGTGTTACGCGGCAGTGGCGCAACTGCGCTCTACCTGCAAACAGAGGATTTGAATTTGATCCAGTGGCGGGGCCGATGGGCTCAGCTCAAGACCGTTGAGCATTACATCCAAGAAGTGGGTGCACAGTCTTTGCTGTCCACTTTGTCAGCAGAAACCCGTGACCTCGTCAAGTTGTTTGCGGATGCTGCTGGCCCACTTCTGGCAAGTTTCTTTGTTGACTCGTCAAAGCATTGATGAGGCGGAAGAAAGCTGGATGAGTTGATTTGTATTGAGCCTTGCAAGATGTGATTTGCTATCTTTGGCGCCTTCGATCCTTGTCCATCATTTCTTCTTGTGCTGGCAGCACTGGCTGCCTCAGGGATACCTTGTCACTGCGGGAAAGAGAGAAGCTGCCGTGTGATGCTTGTATCACTGGTGGATGAGCATTAAGCTGTGGCATCGCTCCAGAGCATCTCACTTGGCCCCAGAACCCCCCACGCCCTTGGGGAAGAAAGCTGGATGAGTTGATTTGTATTGAGCCTTGCAAGATGTGATTTGCTATGTTTGGCGCCTTCGATCCTTGTCCATCATTTCTTCTTGTGCTGGCAGCACTGGCTGCCTCAGGGATACCTTGTCACTGCGGGAAAGAGAGAAGCTGCCGTGTGATATATATATATATACATACATAGAGATAGATATGGTGGTGTCTTAGACATGGGGGATCCCCAAGTCACCATAGGTTTCAATACTAAGTCATGGTCATCCATATATCGTCGCTGTGCTTCAGGGCTTCCTCTCCAGGGAGAGCTTGCTGACGCTGGTGGCCAAGAAGCCCTTCACTGAGCCATCGAGTCGTCCAACAGTATGTTGGTGTTAGGAATCTGATGCTATGCTTGGCAAAAAGGGAAAAAAAACACACACAAATTGAGTCATACCAGAGAGAGAGAGAGAGTACTCGACTTTTTGTTTTGTTTGATAGTGCCGAGTTGGCTGTCTCAATCCCAGGCTGCTTGTAAGAAGGGTAATTACAATCCCAGCCTGCATAAGAGGGTAATTATCTTCTGCGAAAAGTTGTTCGTTCTTTTCTGCGAACTGCACTGCTCCTACTTTCGAATCTTCCTGGCGGCCAGTGCAAACTTGCAAGGTCCTTGCCAAGTCCAAATGTTGGCGATGCCGAAGCTGGGGCGTTGAGCGAAGGACTTGCTGCTGCATCCAAGACAGTTTGACACCTGGACAGGAACAAAACCTTTGTGGGATACATTTCTGCACATGTTTATTTATTCCTGAGGTGACAATTCTGTACTCTTCCGACACTGGACATGCAGAAGAATGTGCCAAAGCTGTTGCGTGCCTGGGATCTGAACATATCTGAACTGTGACGTGGGTTGGTATGCAGTGTCTTCATGTACCCTTCTCCGCTCGAATGATACCAAGCATGCAGCAGAGACATATAAATGGCCTGAACTTGACTAGTTTGTTCTCTTAGGCGGCAGTGCCGAAATGGAGGATATGCTGGCAGTGCAGCTTGTTCGCACAAATTTGACTTTCAACGAGTGTCCGGACAGTGACCAAGCCATGGCGTTGATGTCACCCCAAAATTATCCACCCCCAGCACTGCCAGTAGAGATTTTCAAGATAGTGAAAACAATGCATAATTGGATCATTATGTTGGGGACCCCCAAGCTAATAAACTCCCCCAAGCTGTCTACTGTCTATTTTTAGTTTAATCCAGGCATTGTATCGGATACAGTAGTTTTGGGCCCGCCAGGCAGTGCGCTGTGCTACCATGGACTCATTCGATGTGGGAGCGCTGTCTTCAGAGCCACTGGTGGTGTTCTGCGTGGCAACTGCAGGAAAAGGCAGCACAGCTGCAAGACACACCCAGTGTATGTGGTCACTACGTGTGGGGATGGTGGGATACCATGTCCGAGCTTTCTCAATCTTGTTTCAAATCGAGGATCTGCTTGACACCTTGAGCCTTGCAACCTGCGTTCTAAGGTGAATTCTGTGGCAATGGTCGAAACTTCTTCCAGAAGTTGAGCGATCGCTCTGACCTAGCTCTCAATGACAGGAACTTAGACAGTTCTCTGAAGTCCATGTTGTTATTTGTTCTTTTGCTTTCTGTGTCTTTCTGTGTGTGTCTTCCCATGGCAAAGTTAGTACAGAAAAGGCGGCCTGCTCTTGCTTTCAGAGCCAAGGATCTCAAGTACTGCATTTTTGGCCTTGGTGACTCTCACTACTGGGGCAAGGGCACTGAGGATGGGGTCAACTTGTCAACATCCTTGAAAGATACACTATGAAGACTACTATGAAGATGTTCAAGACACCCTAGTGATCCGTGATCACAGCGCAGGAATCCAAATTCAATTTCGCCAAGCCAGCCCGTGATTTGGACAACTTGTTGGAGAAGATGGGAGCCCAGCGCATGATGCCCACTGGATTCGGAGATGACCAGGACTGGACTTCGGTTTTTTGCAGGCGCTGAGGGTGTGCTGCGGTGTGGAACAGGACGTGGACCAGTATCACACGGGATTTGCCGAGTGGAAAGGCCAGCTCTTTTCACGACTTGGTGTCGACAAGGCGAGACTTGCGAATGGCTCATTGGTTACAGCAGCGCTGAGAGCATTGAACCTGTAGGGATGAGTTCTTTGAATTGCAATGCTTTGCCTTGGCTTTGAGTATGATTCAATGCTTCGCGGTTTTCTAAGACATGGCTAACTGGATTGCATCGAAGCTCCTTCAGTCTTTCACACCGCACTGAAAGCGGAAAGCCCCAGTATTTAGTATTCATCATGTACAACAACAGATTGAACATGTCTCTCCATCATAGGACGTGAAACAAGTTCCCCCACATCTCAACCCCAAGCATTTGAAATCTAAAACTGCAAGGCTTGAGCTCTCAGAATCTCACACCGTCAGGTTTCAAAAGCTTGACAAAATCGAAAGCCAGCACCATCCACCAATGCCGCAACGGCACAGTCTAACAACGCCGCAGTGTATTTTCAACTTGATGGGAACCTGGCTTTGTTTGTTGTTTCTCAAGGCTGCCAATGGCTCATGGACAATCGTAGCTATCCTAGCTATCGTAGCTATCGGTTCTCATCTCCAGGCTGATGCAGCTGGAGGTGGTGATGATGGCCCAGTGAAAACTGACGAGCAAATCAAGGCCTTCCGACTTGGGACCCTGGACATGCAAAGTCTGCGATGCTAAGTCATAGCAGTCCTCTCATTGCTGCCGGAAGTAACACCAGTCAGGTGTCAGAGTCAGAGTTTGGACAGAAAGTGAAGCAAGAACTCTTGTCGGTTTCATATGTTTCATTCTAGAAAGATACAATTACAGTTTTCTCAGCCCTCCAATCTGGAGGTCGAGACGAAGCAGCTTCGAGGAAGCATGAAGGCGAGGTGGGCAGATCAGATAATTTGATTCTAAGAGGGGTAACCAAAGGTGAACTTGATTGACTTACTTGCAACGACGGTATCTCAGGAAAGCTTGGACGACATCACCACTGGCCAAGTCCCTTTCCAGGTCAAGCTGGGTCAAGCAGAATATTCAAGCTGAAATTCATGCTGAGATTCAGATGGTCGGATGGTTTGATGTTGTTTGCATTCAGCGAAAGCACGAGGACACCAAGTTGATCAAGTCCCATGGCAGCTACCAGCAGGCGTCGATGCGTTGTTGTTTATTTGGTGAGGATCAAGAGCTGTCATACGAAGGTCTACCATGGTCTACCATGGTCTACCATGGTCTACCATGGTCTACCATGGTCTACCATATCAAAAGTGTTTGTCAGGATGACCGAGACCTGCGAGAAGAGCGCCAAAAGATGGGTGTTGAGAATGCACCTTGGAAGCGACTGATAGTGGCATCTCCAGGGATTTGAAGTCGACCTTCGTTGACCAACAGTGACAACTTGTGCTGAAACAGCTGTGCCAACTTGGTATCCATGCCACTTGGACTTCAGCACTTGCATCGTGCTCAAGCATGACATGGTGACATGATAGAAGAATTTGACCAATCATATCTACAGTACATTACAGTACCTGGTATATAGATGTGACTAATTACACTATATAAACGCACGTACACACACACATATATATATATAAATATTTATAACTGATGATTGTGGTATAGTATACAGTATAATGGTATATGATGGATACAAATATATAAGCGAAAATGCTCTGTTGGATGCACAGGCCTTCAGCTTCATGATTCGTTGCTTGGATTGAGACAGTGTTTGTGCTGTAAGAACTGTCATCTTGACAGGGTTTACGTTGTTTTTGGCACACAGGGTTTGGAAATTAAGTAAAGGCTAGATAAGATCTTCTTGTATCTTTTCAAGCTTTGATTGCACTGCTTGATTGGCAGGTTTCTGACTTGAACCTGACAACAGGATTCTGCTTGTGACTCGAAAATTCTCCTCCCTTGTGAGGTGTCCGCTTGCCTGGTGGATACTGCACTCCTGAACAGTGGATTGCCATGGACGTGTCTGGTTTGAAATTCTCACAACATTGATTTGACACGCCCAAGCGAATCCAGATTTGCACAAGTGAGCACCAACGTAATTTCTTGTTCCCCAACAGCAGAATGCTTTGGGGTCTTCAGCCATAGTAAAGGTTTCGGAGCAGACCGGAGCAGCTCCAAAACCCATTCCCCCAAGGTTCCCAGGTTCCAAGTAAAGGTTCCCAAGTAAAGGTTCCCAGGTTCCCAAGTAAAGGTTCCCAAGTAAAGGTTCCCAGGTTCCCAAGTAAAGGTTCCCAAGGTTCCCAAGGTTCCCAAGGTTCGCTCAAGGTTCCCAAGGTTCCCAAGGTTCGCTCAAGGTTCCCAAGGTTCCCAAGGTTCCTCAAGGTTCCTCAAGGTTCCCTCACGGTTCCCAAAAGGTTCCCAAAAGGTTCCCTCAAGGTTCCTTCAGGGTTCCCTGCAAGGATCCCAAGTTTTCCAAGTAAAGGTTGTCAAGGTTCCCAAGATTATTATGTAAAGGTTCCCAAGTAAACGTGGTCCAGGTTCCCAAGGTGACATTGTAAAGGTTTCTAAAAGATTCCCAAGGTTAGATTGTCAAGGTTCCCTCAAGGTTCCCAAAAGGTACCCTCAAGGTTCCTTCAAGGTTTCTTCAAGGTTCCCTGAAGGTTCCCAAGTTTTCCAAGGTTCCCAAGGTTGTATTGTAAAGGTTCCTTCAAGGTTCCCAAGGTTACATTGTAAAAGGTTCTCAAGGGTTCCAAGGTTATATTGTCAAGGTTTCCTCAAGCTTTCCAAGGTTGCATTGTAAAGGTTCTCTCAAGGTTCCCAAGGTTACATTGTAAAGGTTCTCAAGGGTTCCAAGGTTATATTGTCAAGGTTTCCTCAAGCTTTCCAAGGTTGCATTGTAAAGGTTCTCTCAAGGTTCCCAAGGTTACATTGTAAAGGTTCTCAAGGGTTCCAAGGTTATATTGTCAAGGTTTCCTCAAGCTTTTTCCGAGGTTGCATTGTAAAGGTTCCCTCAAGATTCCCAAGTTTCCCAAGTAAAGGTTGTCAAGGTTCCCAAGGTTGTATTGTAAAGGTTCCCTCAAGGTTCCCAAGTTTTCCACGTAAATAATCTCAAGGTCCCCAAGGTTATTGTGTAAAGGTTCCCAAGTACAGTAGTAATATTCGTCGTAATATATAAATTTCTTGAAGATATTTGAATGCGGCTACACGCGCGGAACCCGCGCAGAACAACACGCGCGGAACCCGCGCAAAACGCAGACGCGCATAACGCGCATAACGCGCGGAAACGTGGAACCCGCGCGTACTATTAATACTTCTAGTAGTAGTAGTAGTAGTAGTAATAGTAATAATAATAATAACAAAAATATCGTACATGTAGTAGAAATGATACTAACCGTAATATTGATTAAATTACAAGTTGTAGAAATATTACTAATATTCGTCGTAATATTTTAACTTCTTCAAGAAATTTGAACGCGACCACGCGCGCAGAACCCTTGCGGAACCCGCGCGTACTATTAATAGTAGTAGTAGTAGTAGTAGTAGTCGTCGTCGTCGTCGTAGTCGTCGTAGTAGTAGTAGTAGTAGTAGTAGTGGTAGTAGTAGTAGTAGTAGTAATCGTCGTCGTCGTCGTCGTCGTAGTAGTAGTAGTAGTAGTCGTAGTCGTAGTCGTAGTAGTAGTAGTAGCAGTAGTAGTAGTTGTAGTAGTAGTAGTAGTAGTAGTAATAGTAGTAGTAGTAGTAGCAGTAGTAGTAGTAATAAAATCGCAGATGCAGTAGAAATGATACTAATCGTCATATTGATTAAATTATAATTAGTAAAAATAGTAATAAATAATGTTCATCGTTATATGAGATTTTTTCTTAGAGAAATTTGAATGCGACACCGCGCGTGGAACCCGAGCAGAACAACACGCGCGGAACCCGCGCGAAACGCAAACGCGCATAACGCGCGAAACCCGTGCGAAACGCAGACGCGCGGAACCCGCGCGTATTATTACTACTTCTCTTACTAATAATACTAGTAGTAGATGTATAGTAGAAATTATATTAATTGTAGTACTGATTAAATTACGATTAGTAGAAGTAGCAGTGATTTTCATCGTAATATATGAATTTCTTCAAGAAATTTGAATGCGGCTACACGCGCGGAACCCGCGCAAAACATCACGTGCGGATACCGCGCAAAACGCAGATGCGCGTAACGCGCGGAAACCGCGCAAAACGCAGACGCGCGAAACGCGCGCGTACTATTAATACTTCTAGTAATAGTAGTAGTAGTAGTAGTAGTAGAAGTAGCAGTAGAAGTAGAAGTAGAAGTAGAAGTAGTAGAAGTAGTAGAAGTAGTAGAAGCAGTAGAAGTAGTAGAAGTAGTAGAAGTAGTAGAAGTAGAAGTAGTAGTAGTAGTAGTAGCAGTAGCAGTAGCAGTAGCAGTAGTAGGAGTAGTAATATTATCGCAGATGTAGTAGAAAAGAAACTAATCGTAAAATTGATTAAATTATAATTAGTAAAAGTAGTAGTAATATCCGTCGTAAAATATTAATTTCTTGAAAAAAATTGAATGCGACGACGCGCGCGGAACCCGCAGAGAACAACATGCGCGAAACGCAGACGCGCATAACGTGCGGAACCCGCGCGTACTATTACTACTTCTAGTAGTAGTAATAGTAGTAATAGTAGTAGTAGTAGTTGTTGTTGTTGTTGTAGTAGTAGTGGTAGTAGTGGTAGTAGTGGTAGTAGTGGTAGTAGTGGTAGTAGTGGTAGTAGTAGTAGTAGTAGTCGTCGTAGTAGTCGTAGTAGTCGTAGTAAGTAGTAGTAAGTAGTAGTAAGTAGTAGTAAGTAGTAGTAAGCAGGAGTAAGCAGCAGTAAGCAGTAGTAAGCAGTAGTAAGCAGTAGTGAGTAGTAGTAAGTAGTAGTAAGTAGTAGTAAGTGGTAGTAAGTAGTAGTAAGTAGTAGTAAGTAGTAGTAAGTAGTAGTGAGTAGTAGTAAGTAGTAGTAAGTAGTAGTAAGTAGTAGTAAGTAGTAGTAAGTAGTAGTAAGTAGTAGTAAGTAGTAGTAAGTGGTAGTAAGTGGTAGTAAGTAGTAGTAAGTAGTAGTAAGTAGTAGTAAGTAGTAGTAAGTAGTAGTAAGTAGTAGTAAGTAGTAGTAAGTAGTAGTAAGTAGTAGTAAGTAGTAGTAAGTAGTAGTATGTAGTAGTAAGTAGTAGTAAGTAGTAGTAAGTAGTAGTAAGTAGTAGTAAGTAGTAGTAAGTAGTAGTAAGTAGTAGTAAGTAGTAGTATGTAGTAGTATGTAGTAGTATGTAGCAGTAAGTAGTAGTAAGTAGTAGTAAGTAGTAGTAAGTAGTAGTAAGTAGTAGTAAGTAGTAGTAAGTAGTAGTAAGTAGTAGAAAGTAGTAGTAAGTAGTAGTAAGTAGTAGTAAGAAGTAGCAAGTAGTAGTAAGAAGTAGTAAGTAGTAGTAAGTAGTAGTAAGTAGTAGTAAGGAGTAGTAAGTAGTAGTAAGTAGTAGTAAGTAGTAGTAAGCAGTAGTACGCAGTATAGTACGCAGTATAGTACGCAGTATAGTACGCAGTATAGTACGCAGTATAGTACGCAGTATAGTACGCAGTATAGTACGCAGTAGTAGTACGCAGTATAGTACGCAGTATAGTACGCAGTAGTACGCAGTAGTAGTACGCAGTAGTAGTACGCAGTAGTAGTACGCAGTAGTAGTACGCAGTAGAGTAGTACGCAGTAGTAGTACGCAGTAGTAGTACGCAGTAGAGTAGTACGCAGTAGTAGTACGCAGTAGTAGTACGCAGTAGTAGGCAGTAGAAGTACGCAGTGGTACGCAGTAGTACTACGCAGTAGTATACGCAGTATAGTACTACGCAGTAGTACGCAGTAGTACTACGCAGTAGCACGCAGTATAGTACTAAGCAGTAGTACTAAGCAGTAGTACGCAGTAGTATTACGTAGTAGTACTACGCAGTAGTACTACGCAGGACTACTACACAGTACTACTACGCAGTACTACTACGCAGTACTACTACGCAGTACTACTACTACGCAGTAGTACTACGCAGTACTACGCAGTAGTACGCAATAGTACTACGCAGTAGTACTACGCAGTAGTACGCAGTAGTAGTACGCAGTAGTAGTACGCAGTAGTAGTACGCAGTAATAGTACGCAGTAATAGTACGCAGTAGTAGTACGCAGTAGTAGTACGCAGTAATACGCAGTAGTAGTACGCAGTAGTAGTACGCAGTAATACGCAGTAGTAGTACGCAGTAGTAGTACGCAGTAGTAGTACGCAGTAGTAGTACGCAGTAGTAGTACGCAGTAGTAGTACGCAGTAGTAGTACGCAGTAGTAGGCAGTAGTACGCAGTAGTACGCAGTAGTACGCAGTAGTACGCACTAATACGCACTAGTACGCAGTATAGTACGCAGATGTACGCAGTAGTACGCAGTAGTACGCAGTAGTACGCAGTAGTACGCAGTAGCACGCAGTAGTACGCAGTAGTACGCAGTATAGTACGCAGTATAGTACGCAGTAGTATACGCAGTAGTAGTACGCAGTAGTAGTACGCAGTAGTAGTACGCAGTAGTACGCAGTAGTAGTACGCAGTAGTACTACGCAGTAGTAGTACGCAGTAGTACGCAGTAGTAGTACGCAGTAGTACTACGCAGTAGTAGTACGCAGTAGTGCGCAGTAGTAGTACGCAGTAGTACGCAGTAGTACGCAGTAGTACGCAGTAGTATTACGCAGTATTACGCAGTAGTAGTACGCAGTAGTACTACGCAGTACTACGCAGTAGTAGTACGCAGTAGTAGTACGCAGTAGTACTACGCAGTAGTGCTACGCAGTAGTACTACGCAGTAGTAGTACGCAGTAGTACTACGCAGTAGTACTACGCAGTAGTAGTACGCAGTAGTACTACGCAGTAGTACGTAGTAGTACGCAGTAGTAGTAGTACGCAGTAGTAGTACGTACTAGTACGCAGTAGTACGCAGCAGTACTACGCAGTAGTACTACGCAGTAGTAGTACGCAGTAGTAGTACGCAGTAGTACTACGCAGTAGTACTACGCAGTAGTAATACGCAGTAGTAGTACGCAGTAGTAGTACGCAGTAGTAGTACGCAGTAGTAGTACGCAGTAGTAGTACGCAGTAGTAGTACGCAGTAGTAGTACGCAGTAAGCAGTAAGCAGTAAGCAGTGAGCAGTAAGCACGTAGTACGTAGTACGTAGTACGTAGTACGTCGTACGTCGTACGTCGTACGTAGTACGTAGTACGTCGTACGTAGTAAGTAGGTAGTGGTAGTGGTAGTGGTAGTGGTAGTGGTAGTGGTAGTAGTAGTAGTAGTAGCAGTAGGAGTAGTAGCAGTAGTAGTAGTAGTAGTTGTAGTAGATTATTATTATTACTAGTAGTAGTAGTAGTAGTAGTAGAAGTAGTAGTAGTAGTAGTGGTAGTAGTAGTAGTAGAAGTAGAGAAGCAGAAGTAGAAGTAGAAGAAGTAGTAGTAGTAGTAGTGGTAGTAGTAGTAGTAGAAGTAGAGAAGCAGAAGTAGAAGTAGAAGTAGAAGTAGAAGAAGAAGAAGTAGTAGTAGTAGTAGTAATAGTAGTAGTAGTAGTAGGGGAAGCCGGCGGTAGGACGGCGCAAAAATGCACTGCATTGCTTGGTCATGAAACAAAAACTACCACGCTTATATGGAATTACTGTTTGGGATCTACGGCCGCTGCTTTCTTGCTGTTGGGGATATTCTTTGGGCTTATTTTTTTGAATATTTCAGAATTGTCCTCAAGCTTGCGATTTCCACCCGTGCTTGACTGAACAAGGACATTTGCCAAAACTTTGCAAATGGAACCCTGAAGATCACCACGCGTCAGACTTGGCAAGTCCATGGAGTTCTGAAGAGAGATGTCTGGGGCTCTGGGGCCTTGTTTGGACCGGACCAGATGTCCGGATTTGTCAGAGTCACTCGAGTCGCTGACGCAATGCTCTGCATTGAAGCCGGTGCATATGTTGCTTAGGTCAAGAACACTATGCGAGCAATGAACAAGGCATATGTTCCTTTCAAAACGCTGAAAACATATTCACAAGCTAAGACTGTGCTTCGACTGATCAGAATCTCTTCAGACATTCCACTGTGCTTCACATATTTCCAAATGCAGTCCTCACAGTCCTCAGATCACTGCACCATCCTTGGTCCTCAGATCACTGCGCCAGGCTTGCATGGATACTGTCGCCGCATGTGGAGATGTTTGCCGAAATGTGCTGTGCACATCCCGCCCAGATGTTTGTTTCTTGCCGGCACCGGACATAGATGACATAGTTCATGGATGTTCATCTGGTATTATATTTGTTTGGATATATATATATGGAACGTGTGGATCTGCATGGTATCAGACCTGTTGACAAACGGACTGTGGGTTCAATCCAGTTTAGTGATAAAAAATGAGGCAGCAAAGAACTCCACGCGGAGATTCTGCACTACACCTATGACATCCATGACCACTGCTTGCCTCGTGACTTGGCAACTGGATTCCTGGCATTGCTCCGCACGACAGAGTTGGCCTGGTCGGCCTGAGGCTCTGGTGCTTACCACGAGATTTTTCTGATGCAAGGCTGGATGGCTCGGTTTCTTCGGTATGTCAACCTGTCAACCTCGATGCGCTGCTGAGTATTGGAGGTGATGAGATGGCTGAGAAAATCCAGATCATGGGATCCACTCCTGTGGAAGAAGAGCCTCTGTATGGCCTTACGTACCTGCCGCGCAAATTTAAGGCCACATTTTTGATATCCAGATATTATCTGTCAGATATTCTTTCATGCTCTTGTTACTGCTTCAGTGTCTTGGATGCAATGCAATTGCGCATTCCATGAACCAGGTGGCCGTAGCAATTCCACCCAGCAACGATGTGGACTTGTTTGCGCATTGCGCAGGCCAGGCAGCTCTATCCAAATGAGCAATGTTCAAAACCTCGGGTGGTTGATGATCATAGGGGATTACACACACACACACTAACCAATCTGTTGGGGATTGTCACATTCCATTAGAGAATCCCTATCAACCAACCAGTATAAAGCGAGGACACAGGGTTTTGAACACTGCTCAAATAGGTTTGTCTGAAAATAGGGAACCCAGGAATCCCTTCATTTGCCTATTTATCATCATTTTCCGACAGATATTGCACAATTTATCAAGCAAACTAAGCCCAGATTGACTTGGCCCTTGGGTAGCTTGTGCAGTTTGGCAACTGGATCAAGCCATACCAGGCTTCATTGCCATCATCGAGAATGGCAAGCTGTTAGGCAAAGCTTGCACTGCTTTGGCCTGGGCATGGCTCAAAATGGTTCGGCAAAGTGGATAGTTTGGAATGTTCAGAGCTGAAAATTGCAAATTTGTGGGTCCAGTGATACTGCACTCTTGATCCACACCTAAGGAAATATAGACATATAGCCTTAGATCCTATAAAAACTGTATACCACTGCGCATTTCACGTTGCGTCAGGTTTCAACGTGGCCGTTGGTGGTGGATTGGGATTCACACACAACAATCAGAAGACGCACCCAAGATTGGCTGACGTCATTGGTAGTTTGGCGGCATTGTGTCAAAGTGTTTATGTTCATTGATTCCTGTCAGCAATGTGCACGAAAGGATTTCCAAGGGGCATGCCTGTGTCTAGGCTTTTGCAAGCCTGGAGATGCGCTGCTCAGCTGCCTCCAAAACTCAAACAGCCGAAACCTTTTCCAGCCATCGGGATCCCTTTTTGTCGGATCTACAAATGCCCCGTGCCCGTCCGCATTCAAAGATTCAGTTTATTAGACATCCCACAAGGCGAGGATAAAAAGACTCAAGAGTTAGCAGCTTTCTTTCTGGTGTAAAAGTGTGCAAGGAAGTATGTTTGCGAGTGCATCTTGACTGTGGCCCGTGACTTTGGTGATCGTGGCTCGACTTGCAATTCTTGGGGCGTCAATTGTCAATGTGGAAGCTGCCGCAACATCAGACCATCAGGCCGGTATGTCTATACTGCCTTGCAGGTACTGGTCGCAAGCATGCTCGGGTGAAGTACACTGTGGAAGATTATGGACCAGAGTGGTTCAAGGCACCTCAGCATTTAGGAAACCGCAGGGAAGGGCTTGGTTTAATGCCTTGCTGAACTGGTGTCAGTTGTTGAATGGACCTGAGACTCTTCGACCTTGCAGGAGCAGGTGGAAGAACGCCTTGGATTTGAGTTGGAAGCGGTGAGAACCTTGAACTGGGCTCAAACTGATCCAAAGACTACGCAGAGTTTTTCTGAGTTGAAATGACACGGAACAAGAATGAACAAGTTGAATCCAAAGATATCCGAAGCAAACACTATCACCTTGACAGGTCTTCAGAAGCAGCATAGCTGGCATAGCTGATCATGCACCTTTCTGCCAGCATGACAGCATGACATGATCATTTTTTTGGCTTTGAATTTTGGTGCTTCGGATCATGGTGCAGTGACTGCAGTGATGTGTGGTGTTGAAACAGGCGAAGCCTTACACCTTGGAGCACCGCGGGGATATGCACGGCCCGAGCTTCAGAGTCTTCCTTGAAAGGTTTGCCTTTGGATGAATCGCTTGTGAATCCCTTACGAATTTTCAGAATTTTGTGTGATTATCTTGATTATCTTGATTATCTTGATTATCTTGACTAGATTTTGGGATATTTTGGGTGACTTCCAGAAACTCTTCCAACCTCGAGCCTGGTGATGCAGGCTGGGTGCAAGCCAGCGACGGAACTTGGAGCTGTGGCCTTTTGATCCCCATTGGTCGCGTCAAGGACTTGGCCGCCAAGATGTTCAGAATCCATCAGAATCCATGAGGAAATCGGATGTATTGGGATGAATGATGGGTACTTGATGGGTACATTATGATCATTGAATCATTATGCTATAGTTGAGTCTAGTTGGCTCAAAGCTGGCCGCTTGAAGGAGAGCTCCCGCGTTTGCATCCGCAAGATTGCCGAGCTGCTGAAGGGCGAGGCTAGTGGGAGACCTTTTGTACTGTTGGTACTTTCACGTTCTGCGACCCTTGCGTCGCTTCTGTCGTGCTCTGACTTCAGCTTTCTGGATGGCTGAGTCATCCCAACCTTTGACAGGTAATCTAGCTTTCTGTCCTTCAGCTTGGAACGTTTTCCAGGGTGGTTTCCGGATGACCTGCAACCAGTCCCTGGTTTTGGAGAACATCAGCGAGGCAGTCCTGTGGCACCTGGGCAGTGCTTGGCTTCATTTCCAGTTCATTTCCAGTTGCAGTGAGGCCAAGAAGGGACAAGTGCAGCAGCTGTTGAATGAGTACAAGGTCATGCACAACAAGGAGCTGAGAGACATTTGGGTATGGCTGAGTGAGAATTATCGACCCGCAATTTTGGGATGCTTAAATACGAAATGATGACTGATGACATATGAAGATCATTTTTCCACGTTTGTTGATATTCCATTTTTGAGTCATCCCAGCCATTCTCAGCCTGTCATCAAGACAATTCCTGAGGAGACAACCGTCAGTGGCTTGCGACGCAACATGGTGGCCTGTGCAGTCCTCGAAGCAGCACTTGTGGAGTTTCCTTAGGTGCAAAATTGCAGCAGGGCACCAAGTTTTCCCTCTCATGATTGCATCAGGTGTGGCCTTGCCAACTTGCCCTCTGGCATTTGCGGAGGCACATCTTTTTTTGTTACTTGCAGGAGCGCCAGTGCAGTACTGTCTGGTAATCAAACTTGACAATGGGAAAACATCCCATTTGGATGAGAAAATCATCCATTATTTACACATGGAAGAATTTCCATCATGGCAGGTTTGATTACGGCCGATTAGTCACATCCCATGGTGTAAAGCCTCAATTTTCCGAATTCTTTCATTGTCATACACCGAGGGCCCTTCCCCATTCTTGGACATTCTACATTGTGTTCATATGTACACATATACTATGGCTACAAACATATGCATTCTTACATCTTAAGACATCCTATGAAGTGAGGGCAAATATGTATATATTAGATACACACACACACACACAAATAACATACAGTATGTGTTTTTTGTTCATTATTTTCTTGCTGGTGAATTCACCATTTTTGTCATTGAGGCCGAGCGCTACTTGCCCACTTTGGTGGAGCGCCTGGAGGCGGTTGCTGACAAGTGCGGCATCGGCCAGGACGCGGACAGCCCGGATGATGAGCGATTCGGATCATCACTATTTAGACATCTTTCGTACATTATATAAATTATATATATTGATATATATATATATGTATACATACACATATATATTTAGTTCATATACGTATATATATATATATGTGTATATATATATATTGAGAGCACAACCTCCACCATCTCAGGGACATACCGAAGCCGACGTTGACGTTTGAAGGAAGACATTGTGATCCGCATGACTGGATGCCCCAATTCCTGCGGCAGGCTTTCTGACAACCAGACTTACTACTATCTTCCCATCCGTTTTTCCATGCGTTTCACAGACTTACTACTTATTTCTTGTTCTCTTTTGAACAGAGTTCAGGCCATCTATGGCTGAGATCGGCTTCATCGGCAAGGCCTCCTTTGATGTGTTGTTTTGCAACCTATTTTGCAACTTGCAAGATTCCCCTTGTGTCTTGACCTGTTTCGTTTGAAGGCTCCTGGCACTTACAACATGTACTTGGGTGCTGAGCTCATTTAGTATCAGGGAAGATGCAAGTGCATACATGTATCGTATCGGCTGCTTGCAGTTTTGACCTTGAATCCTCTTGCTTGACTTCACCCAGGATTAGCATGTCGGATAAAAGTTGTTTGGCAGTCCATTCTTGAGAGAATTAAGGTGCTGACTTTGTGGGTAAGCGCTTGAACACCTTATACGCGGAATCAGTGAATGAGGCTGCAAACAGAAAAGTCGAGATTGCATGATTGCTGCTTGTTCTCGTGGTACTCCTGAGATAGAGACATGCAGTGCAAGGAAGCATTTCGGACTTAGCCCAGTGTCATTGAAGATATTGTTGTTGGCAAGCCCGTAGCTTGAAGTTTGGAACCGGTCGAAGACCATGCTCAGAAAACTTCTGAATATGCGCATCTTCAGCCACAGGATGAAATCATCAAGATCCTGACTCCACTTTTTAGCACCTATGCCCAGGCAGGGGAAGAATGGCCAAGGGCCTTAATAGTAGGATTGCTAGGCATGAAATGCTCGCAAAAAAAACATCATCCATGTTGCATGCCATGTTTGCTTCTTTGAACAAGTCGTAACTCTCGTTTTGAGACATCCCAAGACTTGATGGTGACAGGATAAATTCAAGGACGAAAGGTTCGGAGACTATTTGATCCGCACAAAGATCGTCAAAAAGATCCTTGGACCGAACAGCGGAGAAGTTTCTGGGTATCCGCCTGAAGAGTAGATTCATAGATATGTATTATGTACATAAAGTTCCATAGCTTCCTTGGAGTGGTTTAGGAAATCCTTTTGCAGATCAAAGATCAATAAATTTTCTTTTTCAGAACTCAGCAAGATCTGCAAGCAATCAAGTAAACAAGAAAGCAAGCAAACACACACTAGACAAGAAATGGATCATTAGAGTGATCCGTTGGGAACTGAATCCCATCACATCCAAGTAGATTAGATGTATATATATACATATATATATATATACATATATATATAATATACATAAAATATAATGAATGAAGCAGTGGCGAAGTTTTACGTCTATTCAGACGTTTCACACCCTTGCTCAGAACTGTCATTGCGAATTTGGTTGTGGAATGCACCTTACGTGCAAAGACACCAACAATCAAATGATATGATGAATATACATACATACATACATGCATGCATGCATGCATACATACATACATACATCGCTACATATATATATATATAGATATTTAAATAACAGGAGACGATGACGATATAAACCAACAGCGATACAATATAGGTCCCCCCCAGCTGCGACTTAAATGCGCCCAGGGGCAGGACTATACATATACATTTACATAAAATTGCAGGTACGGGAAACCGGCCACGTTTCCCTTCCCACTCATGTCCACAGCTTCGTTGCGCGTGGTAGGACATGAGTGCCACACGCCCCTCCAGATTAAGAAGTTTTACATCTCTACAGATGGTACACACACACACATACTCACACATACGCACACGCACACACACACACACACACACGCCCCGCAGCAGCGGGGCAGATGATGAAAGGGAAATGAAAGTGAGATGACAATGACATTGAAATTCAGGGTCTTGCTGTAGGCTTTCCCATGAAAATGAGATGACAGCTACTTACCGGGACGCGAGGCGGGGAACGCAAGAGAAGAACGAAAAAAGAGAAAGCACCAACAAAAACACACCTGGCCCTAGCCCAGAGCGGGCAAACCCTGAAAAGGCAAGGGAAAAGAAAAAGCGGACGGACGAGGGGCCAAACACCGACCAGAGGAGGGGGCGGCGGACAGAAGCGCCTGACACAACCTACAAGGCGAGAGCCAAACCTGCCTCGGCACGCGAAGGACCCAAACCTGACCTAACACGGGAGCACGCATGAGAAAGGGGACCCATGGGGACCTAGTTAATGACAAATGATGTGCGCGCAAGAGTCGTGATAAGGCTCGAGGCAGCCCTATAAACGGCTTAAGTGTTCAACCCTTCGAATTGGTGCACAAGTGAACCTCACCAGAGACCAAAAAGAGCAAGAAGGACCACACCTAAAGTCGTGAACCTGCCTGAGCATGTCATCATGTAGAACTTGCTGAGCCATGTCAGTCAAACTCTCGAGCAACGTTGAAAAAAGGAATGTTGGCGCAGCTGACAACTACTGACCTTTGAAATTCAAAAAAGGTGAGTCCCCAAACAGCGGGCAGCTGTTCAACACGACGACAGTCGACAAGGTGAGAAGTGAAAAATGGCCGGCTGTTTCACTTTACTTAGACGAATTACTAGGTTCAAAAACGGTAAATTCAGAGATCAGGTCGGAGGATCGAAGTTCCTACCTAGAAAGGTACTCCCCGAAGGGATCATGCCACCTTGACGAATCCAGTATGAGTCACAGTCTTGCTCAGAACTGTCATTGTGAATTTGTTGTGGAATGCATCTTACGCGCAAAGATACCAACAATCAAATGATATGATGAAGATACATACATATATATATATATATCAAAAATCACAGGAGACGATGACGATATAAACCAACAGCGATACAATATAGATCCCCCCAGCTGCTTGTGCGTGGTAGGACATGGGTGCCACACGCCCCTCCAGATTAAGAAGTTTTACATCTCTACAGATGGTACACACACACCCACACACCCTGCCAGAGGCAGGGTGGTTTGCATGCAATGAGGTGAAGATGAGGATGAAAAGGGGAATGAAGATGAGATAAAAGTGAAAATGAGATGAAAGATTACTTAGCCGGGACCCGAGGAGGGGAACGCAAAAGAAGAGAGAAGGAGCAAACACCCACACCAACACACCTGGCCCGGAGCGGGCAAACCCTGAAAGGGCAAGGGAAAAGAAAAGCGGAGGCCGACAGACACGAAACAAGACCAGCGGAGGGGGGAAGGACGGAAGCGCCTGAACCAACCTACCACAGCGAAACCTACGCCTACCTAGGCACGCACAGGACCCAACCTACCTGGGGAGGGAAGAACGCATGAAATAGGGGACCGAATGGGGAACTAGTTGGTGAAGAGGAGTGAAACAACAAAAAAGTTAAATGGGATTCAGCTCAAACCTAAAGAGTTGTGCGTCACTCCCTTGAAGGGACGGTAGTCGGTCACACCACATAGGCATTAAACGGCTGTTCAAGTTCAAATGAATTAGATGCACACAATGTTTGACCCCACCAGATACCAAAAAGACCATACCTGCAGGAAGAGGACATGCCTGTTGCCTTCAATATCCCTTGTCATGTTGCAGAGCTTGAGCATCTGCGATAAACGAAGGTCTCTGGTTGTTCGGTATGGCTTCCCGTGAACAGACTGGAACTTTCCCAAGGTTCACAAGGACGACAGGAGCAGCGGGACATCTCAAAAGGTGCAAAACCGAAAGGCCGGCTGTTTCATTTTACTTAAACGAATTACTAAATTAAAATGTGTGAATTCAGAAGTCAGGTCAGTCCACATTCTCCCTAAAAAGGGATGCCTCAAATGGCTCCATGGCACCATGTCGGAGCCCCCATAGAAGTGACACTAGACAAGAAATGGATCATTAGAGTGATCCGTTGGGAACTGAATCCCAGCACATCCAAGTAGTTTAGAGGTATATACATATATATACATATATATACATATATATACATATATATATATACATATATATATATAGTATAAACATATATATATACATATATATGAGCTATGGTGGCCACCAGCTGCGACTTAAATGCGCCCAGGTGCACCACCAAAGCCCAGCAGGTACGTGTACACATGCCCCGGGGAGGTGTCTTCGTTGATCACCGACCCCCCCGGGGCCCCGGTGATCCCCTGCTGCAATAATATATATATATATAATAATAATGAAGCGGCGGCGAAATTTTACGTTTATTCAGACGTTTCACACACACGCACAGACACATACACCCACACACCCACACACCCACACACACACACATACACGAACACAACTACCCTTGATGCAAACTTCAGCCAACCAGGGTCAGGATCTGTTTCGAAGGCTGAATACCCAGCTTTCTCAAAACATTATTTAAATATATATATATATATGAAGATTGTGAAAATTGTTTTACAGTGTTGACCAGCACTTTGCATTGAATCAAATGGTTGAACTTGGAGGACAGCGGTGAATTGGGAGGGAACATGTAGAAGGGTGCACGGATACAGCATTCCTTGACACTTATCGTGTTGTCTGCCTTGCCATTGAGGATGGAAAACGGCCGTGATTGGTGGACTACTCCCGATCTTTGAGCAAACATCGAAAGTCTCAGAAATTTTGCTCTCGCTTGAATTATTTGACCTTCACTTCCACTTGCGAAGGATGCACAAACCATCGAGTTTGGAATCTCTCACCAGATCAGGCTCATATTCGTGATGCTACATGTTACGTGCCAGTGAATGATTTCTAGTGTTTGAAGAAGAGTCAGCAAAGTGGAATTGAACACCTGCTAGCAACCCCCAAGTTCTTTGTAAGGACCTGCGTTAATATAGGCAATATTTCTTTTGCCTATACAGGAGTGCCAAGGCAGCTCTCCTCAATCCTTTTTTTCGCATGTAAGCGATTTTTCTTGCGATGGGCTGCAAACGTACCTCAGCCACTACGATTTCGATCTGTACCTCAGCCACTACCAGTTTGTTTTACTTAGCCATGACCAGGTCGCACGAGAGGTTAAAGCAGGAGACACCCTCTGTTGGAAAAATTCTGAGAATGGAACGAAACTAGCTGAAATCAGGTGGGCAGATTTGAGGTGATGCTGTCTATTTACCAAACTCAAAGGTAGGCAGCCTTGGAAATGTGACAAGATCGAAAGTCTGAAGTGACAAGAACTGATAGCCAGTAGTTGGCAGTGGTTGGTGCTGCGGCCGCATTGCAAGTGCCATCGTTGGCGACCCTGGAGCAAATTTTGAAATTTGAACTCCTCGGTGGTGACGTTATAATCCTGCACAGTGTCTCAGCTCCGCAAAAATTGGATTCGGAATTTCCAATGCACTGACCTGTTCCAGAGCCGGCATTTATGGAATATGCATGAATATGCCACATTGTCAACTCTCCTGAAAGCGAAAATGTAATGTGGCGCAATGCAATGAAATGTGTTCCTTCTATACATGCTGCATAAAACAAGGCTTGTTTTCAAACTGGCTAGTTTATAAAAGGTTGACAATGCCCTGACAAACAGCAGCTGTTTGTGACAGGCAAGTTGAAGAATAGTTGAAGTGTAAATCGATGAACGGATATTTTTTTACAGCAAAACAATAAACATTCACACATTTGGACAGCACAGATATAGCAAGTTTCGGTGGTGCCTTTAGAGATAACTCTAGATTTTACAAGGGCCTTTGAAGCCTTTGAATGATTTCAGTGTGCGGCAGCTGGATATGAAGCAAATTTTGGTCTCAAAGACGGTGTCAGATTGCTGATGCAACTTCGTGGGTCTGGGTCAGCCAAGCCAAGACTGTGAAATTGGTGTAAGCCAAGAAGATCCAAGAAGTCTTAGTCAGTCTTGGTCTCCGTCAGAACTCAGAGACGGTGTGCGACCCCAGACCAGTTTTCCATGCCCAATTCGCCAACCCGAGCTAAATCCTTGCAGCTCGCCTCAGCTCGCCTGTGCGAAACGGACGCCTCCAACACATCTATTTTTTATCTATTGTTCTTTCCTGCATTGGGGAATATTATGAACAAAGAAGTTATGAACAAGTCATAAAGAAGTTTCATCAACATTCATAATCTTTTTGAAACCACGCAAAGTATTGCAAGGTTTGGTTGGTGTGTTGGGGTGATCGCCGAGGCTTGGCTTAAGGTCGTCGCTTGGCAATGAAATAGAGTGATGGAATGTGATGGAATGTGGACAGAACAAGCTGCATAAGCTTTAGCTGAATATAGCATATATATATATATACATTGCTGAATTATAAATATCTGAATTCTTCGAATTCTTTGAATTGAAGTGAAGAGTAGTGTAGAGCAACAGTCCAGCCATAGCCCCAGGAGTAATTTCCCAAAGTCCATTCTCTCGTTGGAGGGCATGTGCACATGTCCCGGTCATGCTGCAATGGCCATCTACCCCATCTGTTCCGAAAAGACGTGGAGAGGAAAAGGAAAGCATTGGTCATCTAGCATGTCCAACGCTCTTGCCATATGAGTCTCTCCGACCCCCACCTATTCGGCGTTGGACACTAGAAGTCCCAAAGCATGCGCTGTCAGGGAGGACGGTTCTGGAGCCCATTGAAACGTCGGAGAAGTCGGAGAAGTCGGAGAAGGTGTCCAGGTCCGAATCTCGAACTCAAACACTGGAAGCTTATTTGCCTGGCCGTACTCGAAGCGGGCGGTCATCCAGGGTCTCTTTGCCACCTTTGGACTTTGATGGTGAGTTGGAAGAAAGTCGTCGCATCAAGGGCTGCCGCGGTGCTTCTGAATATTTAGCCAGACAAGATCGAAGTGGACTCAGTGCTTATGAAAAGTTCTGTGTCAAGGAGGCTTTTTTGCGATTCAAGTCAAGTGGTGCAGACATCAATTGCAGTGACCTGTTTGATATTCTAAGCCACTTGGGATACTTGGGTATCACAGATGAAACTGCTGCGATGCTTGCTAAAGAGGTTTCACGGTTTTCAACTCTGGATTTCAAAGAGCTCTTGAAAGTTGTTGAATCTGCTGGGCCGTGGGAACGTGAGCATTTGCGGACCGCCTTTGAACGCTATGCAGCCAGCTATTCCGTGAAAGACAGTTCTGATGCGAAGGAACCAGACCGCAATGTTCAGCTGGGAGATGGCGAGCGAACGTGTAAAAATGGTAGCTTCGATCCCGGTCGAGCAGGTCGAGCAGGTCGAGCAGGTCAAGGTCGTTTCTTGCATGCTGCGCACCTGCCATTCCTTCTCCATGCTGTTGGCATGACCTCAGAGTGGCAAGCCATTCGGGAGACGCTGGTGCAAGCGCTAGATTTGGACTTCCCGCAGCAGCCGCGACTGGAACGTGATCGAGATGACGCCGAGATTGAGGAACGCATGCTTTTTTCTTTTGAGCAGGTCAATCTCATTTTGGCAACACACCGTGCTGCCCAATGTTCTTCTGTACCCTTGCTGGAATGTGCTGAGACCCTGTTTTGCTCAGTCGCTAAGACTGTCAACAGAAGACTTGAAGTCAATATTCACAAAGTGCCAGAGCTCCTGCGTCGCCTTCATGAGTATGACGTCTCCGAAAGCATCAACGAGATTTGAAACTCAGCACAATATTCGAACACTTTGCTTTTCCGACTTTTCCCGCGTACACACTTTGAATATCTTTGAATCAGTTGACCAAGTTGTCCAGGGTTAGAAAATATATTTGCTGCTCATAGTGACTATCATGCTGTAGGTCGACCTTTGCGGTCAAGCAGACTGCCAATCCATGGAGACAGTGATGTCAGCGATGCCAGTGGAGATGAGGCTGAAGAGGTCAAAAAGTCCAGGGCCTAGAGACCAGAAACATACAGCAACCATCAGCAACCAAGATAGTTAAAATACTGTTAAACATGTTAAACTTACCAAAGAATGCTTTAAGGGAACATTAACCACGGTTTAAACTTTAGTTCTACCATCCAAATATAATATAAGGTTTTTCTAGATTTTGTAGATGATATATTTGGTGGATATGTCTCGCTTAACGATTTTGGGGATGAACAAACTTTGACTTCAGGAAATCAAATGCCGTTGATGCATTGCTCAAGCTGCATGACCCCGCGTGCGATTCTTGGTTTGGCCTTGGAGGGTGTCCGATCCAATTTCTGGGGCTTGGGTTGTCCGTCCTACTGTACGGCCCCTAGCTTTGGGTTGCTTGGTTTCTGTCTTCTCCTTGGTTGGGTTACCGGTTTCCTGTGTGCTGGCTTATTGCTCTACTGGATTTCTGGCCTTGGACTTTTCCCGGCCTTTTTCCGTGGACCTTCTGCTGCCAGCCCCTTTGGATTTTCTCCGGGGCCTCCTCCCAACCGTTCTCAACTCCTGGCCTCATACGTGGATGAGCCAGTCCCAAACCGGCCATCACGAAGACGTTGAGCTACGTGTGTCTCTGCCTGGTGGTTTGCGTGTTGTGGTTACTGCTCCTGCTTCGGCTTCTGGACTTGCCGCCGAACTCTTGGGTCACATCTCTTTGTTCCGTGCTGAGCGTTCTTTGTCCCCTACTGAGCGTTCCTTTGAGGTTCTGTCTGCTGCTAGTGGTGTGGGCTCCGCTCCGGTGGCTTCTGGACTTCCCTCTGGGTACACTGCCAGGTCTTTTGAAACTAGGGACTCGATCCAAGACTCGTTCGCCCCGTGCCCAGCCTATCTCTTCAAAGACGCTGGTCGCCTGTGTGGCTCGTCTTTGCCTGGCACTGATCGTGTGGAAAGGGCTTGGCGTGCTGGACAGTGGGCTAAAGCTGTCAAAGATCGCAGAATTGGCAGCCCAAACCGAACACCAGCCATTGACCTTCGACCAAGGTACTACGCGGTGCTCTTGGCCGAGGGCCTGGAGAACTCAACGATCTTCCAAAGTGCGGCCAGCTACTGGAAGTGCATCAAGTCCCTGGAGGGATCAAGTTCGATATCACAGAGCTTCCCCAGTGAGCTCGAAGCTCGGATTTACCTGCAGGCAGCAGGGGCCGTGGACTTTTCCATTGCACCTTAGTTGCAGCAATGGCGACTTTGCATGGACTTTCCTTGGAGGTTTTGGTCAGCCTAAAGCAAGATGTGTTCCCCTACCTGTTGGACTGGCCAAATGTGGACTTCGAAGGTGTGTCCGAGGTTGCGGTTTTGGTGGTTGGCGTCCGTCCCAATGGATTTCTGTTGGCGCTTCCGGTGGGGTTCATTCCAGAAGAGATTCTGGCAGTTGGCAACCGTCCCTCTCCTCCTGGTCTGGTTGGTCCGTCGGTGGTTCTGGTGGTCCCTGGAAAGATCTTAGAGGATGGGGCCCTTTCTCCTATCGGCAGCGATGTGCCGGTGCTGGTTGTGGACTTTTCCGAAGGAGCTCTTCGTCACTTGCGTCTTCCAGGAGAGCAGGAGCTGGTAACTTACTCATACGATCAGGATCATCCCTTTGCTCCGCCAGACCCAGACAAGCTTCTGGCTGCAATCCAGGATTGGGTCAAGGGCGGAGAGGAGTCTTCAATGCTAGGATTTTACTCCGCTGCCGAACTGGATGGAGATCCGCTGGAGGAGGGAGATCTAGAGGCTGCCTTCGAGGACCCGGGCAGTCCCACCACTCCCAAAAGAAGAGCCACAGCTCCAGGTGGGCGAGGGAAGCCTACTTCACAAGGAAGGAGACCAACGGTATCATCCCTGGCAGGCTCTATGGAGCAGCTCCTCTCCGCCAACATGGGCATGCAGAAACAACTAGAAGCATTGACCCTGCGGCAGCAAAAGCTGGAGCAGACAGCAATTCAGCCGGCACGAGTGCTTCCAGCACATCAGGCTTCCCTTCACCAGCCTATCTCATCGGCATTGATGGCAGCTCCAGTACCCAGCAGTGTGGTGGCTCAGCAGATTGGCACCCCGCCTCGCACGGCTGTGCCTGCGTCCCCGGGTCTCTTAAGATCATCTATGGTGAAGCCTGCCGAGGTTGGAGAATTGGAGGAGGTTGCAATGCCCGATCACCCATCTTCCTCAAGAGACCCACTGGCGCAAGCCGTTCTGGCCCAGTCGAATGCCTTGACCGCTCTGGTCAGCCAGCTGGCCTCTCAGACCAGCGACCCCATGTTGGACTTGAGCATGGGAGCTGCTTCTACCGCGACCAGGGGTGCTCAGGGTCGGGCCAAGCTGCAAATGGAATTGGCAGCTCAGAAGGGGACTTTCTTCAACTCAGTCCTCTGCTCGATGGCAAGGCGCATGCAGCCAACGAGCCCTGTGGAAGGAACCCCACAAGAAATGATGATGAGGGGAGTCTGCGGCACCAAATACCTAGAAAGGTTTGGAGGCTTCGGGAAACACAGGGACTTGGGATGTTTGCAATATCAGGTGATGACCATCTTGGACTTCTTGCAGATGGAAAACATCCAGGGGGCCCGGGACGCGGCATCTCTGTTGGCGGTGACGCTGGACCAGGCAGCGTTGGACAACGGAAGGTTCGACCTGGCATCACTGCTTTGCCTGCAAGAGGAGCCTCCCTCCACGGTTTTCAGCCACAAGCCTGCGACGATCCTATCAAAGGCAAGGGCCTTCAGCCCTCTTGCCGATCAAAAATGGGTCACCTGTGCAATAGCTTTTATAAAAGAATTGGATACCATATCCGCCAAGCGCCTGGAGATCACATCAAAGCCAGCCACATTCGGAGGCGACAGGAACTCCGAACCTGCCGCAAAGCCAAAGCCTTTTCCAAAGAAGAAAGGTCGAGGTGGGAAAGGCGGGGGCCAGCAGACAGAGGCGGAGGAGTAGGTGCACCGGGGGTCTTGCCTTGCATGCATAAGGCACAGGAGGGGCTGGAGTCAAACCCTCTTGTGGCCGATATGAATTTCCAGACGTGGGCTGCCTGCCTACCTCGGTGGATTTTGAAAACGAGGACCCAATTTGCCAGGGCTCTCGCTTTGTCTTTTGCTGTTGTGCGTCGTTCTGCTGAATCGACTTCCATGGCTTTTCCATTGCCCCTTGCATCTTTGGATTGTTTTAGGAGTAGTGGCCCTAAGCTCTCTCGCCGGCGCTTTTGGACTTTGTGCAAAGACCGACTTGTGAACATTTGGATTTTGATTTTGGATTTCATGTTCCTAGGTCGTTGGCCGTCTGCAGCTGAGCTTAGGAGATGCCCCAATCCTCTGCAGCTTTCGATTTTTCAGAGGTTGAGGACATTTGCAGCCATGTGTGGAGAGGCCCAGACATGTTTCAATCTTTGCCCCGGCCGATCCGGACCTGAATTAGGTGCAGAGCTGTTTCAACTTGAGAGGTTCAGCGAAGTCTGTTCTGATCTGCATGTGGATTATTTGGATTCAAGGTGCGTTGGATTTCAGAAAGACCCCAACTTGCTCCCCCGGGAGTTGTTCCCTGAGTTGGTCCCCTATCGTGCCTTAGATCCTAGTCGGTTGAAACTTGTCGGAGAAGGAAAGTGGCCTCTCAGTGACTTCCTTGACGGTGTTTTGTGGCTTCCCTTCCAAGAACCAAAGTTTTTGCTGCATGGTTTTCCCATTGAGCCTGGAGATCAGCCCTGTTTGCAAGCCGAACGTCGGTCAGACTGTCTGGACCTTGCCAAGCTTTGGGATGTGCGTGGACTTTTGCATTTGTCGCCTGCACCCATTCAGCCGGGTTTGTTGTGTCGTGTTTTCAATGCCTTTAAGAACAAGGATTGTGACCGTCAGATAGGAGACCGTAGAATTGTGAACCAGGCTGAGTATCATGTGGATGGGCCCTCCAAAAACCTTCCCCAGGGTCAGCAACTCACCATGCTTAGGCTGCCTCGTTTTACCCATATGCTGAGGGGCTCCGTCACAGACAGGAGAGATTTCTATCACCAAGCAAAAGTCTCCGAGGAGCGTGCTGTGTCAAATGCCCTTCCTTTTGCATTTTGCACTGAGGTGTTTGCCGGCACCCGGGCCTGGGACGAGCTTGGACTTAGGTGTGAAGAAAGAACGAAAAGGACCAGAGAAACCGCAGGAGATGGACTGAAGGACATCGGAAAGACACCAACTGTCCGTAGGTCCTCTCCCGCTTTGCCAGAAAGGGTTTACCCATGTTTCCGGTCTTTGTTCCAGGGTGATCACCTAGGTGTTGAGTTTGCGCTGCAAAGCCATGCTGTCCTGTTGGAGGGTTGTGGACTTTTGGATCCCTCTACCCGAATTCTTGGCCACCATGGATTTCCGCCTGGCCCTCACTGGGATGCTTTGGTGATCGATGACTATTTTGCTTTGAGTTGCGAGCCACTGTCATGCCATGATTCCAAAACTTTTGCCATGTCTGCTCTTGGTCGTGCCCGGAGCATCTACGACAGAGAGGGGCTCCTGGGGTCTGATGAGAAAGATGTGATTGCCCAAAGCACTGTGAAGGCGGCTGGGGCTGAGATCCGATCAAGCCCTAAGAATGTGCGGTCTGGGGTTGTCCCTGTAGGTGCTCCTTTTGGAAAGCGTCTGGCCTTGGCCGTCTTGTCACTGCGGGCTAGTCGTCTCCCTGGAATTTCACCTCGCCTCTCATCTCGCCTTGCGGGTTGTTGGGTCTCCGTGTTGCAGTACCGAAAGTGCTGGTCGAGCCTTGTGGACTCCTTGTTTGGTCTGGTTGCTCTGGGTGAAGAAAGTGGTGAGAATAACATCAGGTGCCTGCCTAGGAAAGTTGCCCAAGAACTCTCCACCATGGCCGCTGCCGCTCCGCTGATGTTCACAAACATAGCTGTTGACTACCACGATAGGATTTTTGCCACCGATGCGTCAGTGCAAAAAGGGGCGGTTGTTTCGGCTGCAATTGAACCTGCACTGACCGAAAAGATATGGTTGGGTTCCGACAAGAAAGGAGCCTATACTCACCTGAGCAACGGCTTCCATGCGCTTCTGAGGCAGATTGGTGAAGTTGATGATGATTGCGATGTTCCAGGGCCCACAGGAACTTATGTTTCGCCTGAGAAACCCCTACTGCTGTATTTTGATTTTGTCGAGATCTGTGGGGGGGCTGGAAAGGTCTCAGATGCCATGGCGAAGAAAGGTTGGACTGTTGCCCCAGTTTTGGACCTGTCGGACAGCCGTCATTATGACTTGGGTTCATTGAGATTTCTTGAGTGGATTATGCACATGTTGGAAGAAGACCGATTCAGAAGTTTTCTGGTTGAACCTCCCTGTACCACGTTCTCTCCTGCTGCCCACCCAGCTGTCAGGTCCTACAACGAGCCACTTGGATTTGATCGGCAAAACCCGAAGACGCTTCTTGGTAATGTCCTGGCTTTCAGGTCCCTTGTGCTGCTGAGGGTTGCGAGGCGTTTCCGTAGGCCATGTGGACTTGAGCAGAGTCGGCTAAGCAAAATGGCCTGGTTGGCCGCATGGAGAAGTCTGCTGCTCTTAGGTTTTCGAGAAGCGGTTCTTGCCAGCTGCATGTTCGGTTCCCCACACCGAAAGGAGTTCCGTTTGCTTTGTTACATGCTAGACGTGGACTTTCTTGACATCAGGTGTTGTGGAGGGCATGAGCATGTGCAGATTCAGGGTCAGCTGACAAAGCCTTCTGCGGTGTATGTTGATGGGGTTGCAGACCACCTGGCAAATGCCTTTCACAATGCCTTGGTAGGCCTGAATGCAGAGAGGGATCTGCAGCCTGAGGTTGAAGGTTTCGAGTCCCCTGTTATCAATGACTTAGCCTTGTCTTCTCGGTGGTCCGTTGTCAGAGCCTGGTTTTGGAAAAGAAAGGGGCACATCAATGTCTTGGAGTTAGGGTCTGCCGTGTCAAACCTTCAGCCTCTATGCCAGGAGCATTCCTCCATTCGGTTCTCTTCCCTGGTTGATTCTGCTGTCTGTCGTGGAGCCCTGACAAAAGGAAGATCTGCTTCCCGAGCTCTCCAGCCTGGTCTCAAGCGAGCTGGAGCCCTGTGTATCACCGCCGACCTGTATCCTTGTTGGAATTTCTGCCCGACGCGCCTCAACACTGCCGATGATCCTACTCGGTCTGTGAGCTTGCGGACTCCTATGGATTTCTCTCTGTGTGATTTATTGAGTGAGGCTGGTCAGCGCCTGTTAGTTCCAGGTCTTCTCCGTCGTTATGCTGCAAATTGGGTGCGCCTGACTCTGTGCCTTGTCCTTTTGGATTTAGGAGCTGGTGTTTCCTGTGATGGACTCCCACCTGATGCAGCAGCCACTCCTGTGGCTCAAAGGAGAACTTCCAGTATGTCTCCACTCGAACTGCCTGAGTGCCAATGGATTTTCGCTCTCCTTCGGTGTTTTGGGGTTTGGAGCCTCTCTTTCCTTGGTGGTGTCCTGGCTTGGGTTTTCGTGTTTTGGGTCTTCTGGTCTCAACGGTCCCTACCTCGGCAAGGTTGGTATCCCTCCAGGGTTAGGCTCGGTTTGTTCATTGCCATGGCTTTCTGCTGCTGTGACGCTGTTTCTGGAATGCCCTTGGCTGCTCAATCACCAGCTGAAAGGCTCAGGGCCCAGATGCGAAGTGATGCGCTGCTCTTTTCAACAAGAGCAGTAAAACCCAAGACAAGGGAGCAACGTGAGATCTATCTGGATCGCTTCAGGGCATGGCTTTGGAAGGAAAAGGGGCTCTCCTTCAAGTTCCTGATCGAACAGAAACCAGCAGACCCTGAACGGATTGCATCCCTACTGGTCGAGTATGGCAGGGAGCTTTTTCATGCGGGAAAAGCTTACGGGATCTATTCTGAAACGATAAATGCTGTGGCGGTCCAGAGACCTTTGATCAGGAAACAATTGACTCAGGCATGGGATCTAGCATTCGCTTGGCTGGCGGATGAACCACATGTGCACCATCCAGCATTGCCTTTGTCGGTCATGTGTGGTTTGGTAACAGTCGCTTTGACCTGGGGCTGGCCTTATGAAGCAGCCATTATCATGCTCACTTGGGCTGGGCTGCTGAGGATCGGCGAGGTCCTTTCAGCTTTTCGAAAGGACCTCATCTTACCACTTGACGCGGCACCTGGCACCTCCTTAATGCTCCTGGTCATCAGGGCTCCGAAGACACGGGGCAGGTCAGCGAAACATCAAGCGGCTCGAGTCGATCAAACGGACATCATACGATATCTGACAGCGATGTATGGAAAATCCCCAAAAGATACAAAACTCTGGCCATTCTCAGCATCGACGTTGCGAAAACGTTTCCAGAAACTGCTTGCGGCGCTGCACCTGCCAACAACCAAAACCACCACCTGTAGGCCTTTTGACTTGGGCTCTCTCAGGCCCGGAGGAGCCACGTGGTTGTTGCATCAAGTCGAAGATGCAGCTTTGGTGCAACGTAGAGGCAGGTGGCTGAGTGGAAGAGTCATGGAGATTTACCTGCAGGAGTCTTTTGTGTCGACTTTCATCAGAGGCCTGGATCCGAAGACTCGCACGCGGATTGAGTTATGCTCAGGAGCTTTTGCCACTACGCTGGAACGCGCCATCAGCTTTTTGGACAGTGGCATCCCTCCTGGAGCTTGGTTTTCCCTCTACAAAATGACAGCTAGAGCTCCTGAGAAGATGTTCGAAAGCATGGGGTAATGGGTTGAATTTTTGGTCAGATGTCAAACAACTACCTGACACTGACATGATGCACCTCTTTGCATTGCAGCAAAATGGCCGCGCTTTCCTGACTTCAGGAAATCAAATGCCGTTGATGCATTGCTCAAGCTGCCCACCCGGCCCAAAACCCTTGGGCTGTCATTTTGCAGGGTTGAATTTTTGGTCAGATGTCAAACAACTACCTGACACTGACATGATGCACCTCTTTGCATTGCAGCAAAATGGCCGCGCTTTCCTAATTAATAGACATTGTCACAGATCTAGTTGAGCGCTGAGAGGATGCTGGCCTGTTGCAATGACCGCACTGAGGCCTCATGATACAATGGCATTCAACGAATTCTTAATCTGGATGCGGCGTGTACGTTGCCTGGAGCTGGGGAAAAGTTGGCAAAGCTACCAGAAGGCGCCACCAAAATATCAACACTTGGACAGACTTGCGTCATTTTTGATCTGTGATTTTTAAATCTCACTCTTTATGCATTGCGAAGCAGGTGGCTACAGAAACGTTTGGCAGCTTTGAAGCACTTCGGAAATCTTGAACGTCGTTATTTCAGGGTGCAAAGATAATGGACACGCTGTTGTGAATGCAGATGACTTGAATAGTTTCTTGCCACTCCAAGGCTATGTGGACCCTACTGAGCTTTCCACATTGGTGTCAGGCGACAAAGTGAGCCAACAGAAAAAGACAGGACACTTTTTCGTGCGAGCAGTCTTTGCCACATCCAGCAATCCGACAGTCCATGTTCTTGCAATGACGACAAAAAGAAGCTGCTTTATGTCCATGCCATGGAAAGAAACTCCGAAGATTTCCAGTCTTTCATCGTTTTTCATTGAGGCTTCTCATCACTTCCCCCTTTCCCATTTTTCCGCCATTTTTCCGCCTGTAACTGTTGGCCAGACTTGTCTCCCCTGCCAGAGCTTCAAGCAGGGCGCCAAGCAAAGAACGCCTTCAGTTACAATTTGTTGCAAAACCGGTTTTCTTCCTGCTCGATGATCCAAGTAGAGTCTTACTTCGTGAGATTTATTAGAGCAGTTGTTTTAGGATGTTTTAGGCATCATTCGGCTTCGGCATCATTCTTGTCACTCAGGAAGAGTCTTTCCGAGAACTTGGACTGGAACGGACTGCTCCTCTCAGCTTCGATGTGTTGGTTTGCCTTAAAAGGCATTGCTCCCTCATGAAGGATTTGAGCATGGAAGAGGCACACAAACTGGTCGGGACAAATCTCCAGCTTTGAGATTTGCTGTGGCAAGTCTTGTAATTGTATTTAGACGAAATCGCATCCTGCAATCTGTAATCTGGTGGTAAATTGTATTATAATCCCATTTAATTGTATTTCCAAATCCCATTGTATTTATAACCTGGTGGTCTTGTCCAGGCGAGATACTTCAATGGCGTTTTTGACCATTTTCAATCAGAGGTTGGTGGCTCAGTCAGGGCCTTTCCAAAGCTGCCGTGTTAGTCGCCTTGTTGCCAGGACCATGCCGGCTTTGTCAAGCGGGAAGATTGTTTATGCATCTTCCGGAGTATGGGCTGCTTGTCAGAATACCAGATTCCCAATCAACATCAATCCACTGGTTAGTCGTCGTATTCCCTATGAAATAGCATCGACCATCTTCAGACACACCCAAATCTTGGAATCTGACGCATCAATGAACCAACACAGAGAGACAATTACCATGGAGCTGAGCAAAGGATTCGGTTTAAACAGCGACGAGATTTATTCCTTGCTGTTGGACGCCAAAGCTGCTGGGCATCGCCTTCTCAGCCTCAGTGATGCTTGGCACCAGTAATGGAGACAGACTGAGGCCCAGGGGCAGATTTTCACAGGAAGACTTTTGTGCAAGGATATTTGAAAGCTGCACTTGGCATGTCCCGGTCCAGTTTTCGATGTTTTTGCGAGCTCTTCGTTCTTAACATGGTGCCACAGTACCAAGGACTTTTTAAACATGATGAGGCTGGGAGGGTTGGTAAAGTACAAAATGATGCCTCCAGGTTCCATGGGGGTTCATGATTTTCTTCGTTCTTCGGTGCCTACTCTTAGGTCCAGGGTTATAAGTAATGTAGATCAGTGGCATCCTTCGGATTCATGTCCGATCTCGGGCTCAGTGACGTGTTACTCAGACGGCTTTTCCGACAGGGCTTGCAGATCAAGACAAAGAGGAATGATCAGAACAGCATCTTGGCGTTTTGAAAGAGTCTTACGCTGTGTTTCTTTTCTGTGATGTGCTGAATCTCATTTTTCCTCGGTCTGCTGTAAGTGCAGGATGAATGGTTTGACTTGGGTTGAACATCAGCTACAGTGAGCAGCTACAGTACATTAGAATAAGATAGTAAACATATGTAAAATGATAAACTCGCGTACCATGATCCTCAAGTCTCAGTTGGTTGGACCAGGGCAGAGATTGAACTGGCATTCGTTCCAGGCATATGAAATGAATGCCCAGCCGCAGTCTCAGTTTTTTGAGATCACAATTCTGTGAAGGAATGATATGGTTCTGATATGGAATGCTCCAAGACCTGAGTTTTTCGTTGCGTGTCACTTCAGCCCAGGGACATGGGATTTTCGGACATGAGCGACTTCGAGACGGGCTCTGCCCTGACAATGTCTGACGATGAGGACCCGACATACCCGACTCTGTGTCTGTCGATGTCCCCCGACCCTACACGATCTACAGATCTACACGTGTTGGTGGAGACCTGGATGATCTGGATGCTGTCACAATTTTGACCTGGAGCGGAGGATTATGCAAACGAGCTCATCTTTAGCAGACGGCAGAGCGACTCCGCAAAAAGAAATCCATGCCATGAATTTCAGGTTTGTTTACATTTTTTACTTCTGCAGTGCCATACTTCACTTGATTCAGGGCTTTGCACTTTTGAACACTCCTGCCAGTCTCCAGCCTCAGGCAATGACTGTTCAAGGGCAGCATTTCGCAGACGTAGCACCATCAAACAGGCCATTGCAGCAAACTTGCTTGGCAGCGTCTCTGGAAATGCTGCTTCTGTTCCTGATTGCAGGAAGCCACGTCCAAACAGGTCGTGTACTTATTTCTTGAGTCTATGAATCGAGCTGCTTTACTTTGAAGCAAGACTCATGGAATGCTGGCGCTGGCCAAAACAACTGCAGGTGCAAGGAGAAGGCTTGCTCGTTCCCCAAGGTTGCTTGGAGGCTTGTTCTCAAAACCAATTTTTGAATATCGGTAGACATTCAATGTCATTTGAATCATTTGAATCATTTGAATCATCTGAATCATTTGAATCATTTGAATCATTTGAATCATTTGAGTTGTTTGATTTGGTACAAATTTCAGTTTGTGACATGTGACTGGGTTCAAGGCCTTGGGCTCAGTGGGTTGGTCAATGGAAGAGGATGCCTTGGACCAGGCCGGCCGCAGGGACCGGGAAGAGCTGGGCACTTGAGAAGCTGCACCATCCGCGCCAGGGATTGGCTCGAATTGGTCTTCAAAACCAACGACTTCTGAGCCTTGACGACTTCTCAAGCCTAGTGAAGCTTCTTGACCTTGGTGAAGTGCTGCGTTTCATTCAACGAAACTAGACGAAACAACTAGCCTCGAAGGTGAGAGCACTCAAACAACTGCAAGTTCAGAGAATCTAAAAGATATGTTCACAATTGTTCCCAAATGTTCACAATATGTTAGTGCAATTTTCATGTGAATGAAAGAACATACCAGCAGTCATTGAGCGTTCATATGGTGAGAAAAAGACAATGCTACTTTTGCTACAGTCTCCCAACAATGATGCATGTTTTGCTGTTGGGTCTGAAGTGTTAAGGCTTCTACGGGAGGAAGAGGCGGCTCAGAAGCAAAGACGAGCTGGGTGGACTGTGTCCGAGGCATGGGACGGTATACACAGCATCTTGACACTGGTAATGGGTCAAACATGTCAGACCCAGTAGGCCCAGTAGTACAGGGATGTACAGGGTATTGCCAATGCCATTTTGGGGTACCTGACTTGACCCGCAGGCCAACGACATTCTTTGTCTCTTCGAAGCTCATGGAGGATCCCAAGATTCAGTCTTGGGAGAGGTGCGGAGTATACTATCCCATTTTGGATTTCCTAAAGTGCGGGGACCCCGAAACCATCTAAATTGGTAATGTTGAAGAGGGAAGCCAATGGTTTTGGGGTCTGGCACAGAACCCGCCACTTGTTTTGTTGCCCCTTTAGATTTGTTTGGGCCCTGGAATGTCCAGGGAGCTCTGGAGCATTTGCTGTGGGAATTGGATGTGAAGCAGGGCAACTTGCCTGAGCAAGGGACGCACAGACTCGGTCGGACTCAATCTGACCACATAGGGTCTACAGCATAGGATAGCGGATCCCAATGCAATCAATCCAATGTATACGTTATTTTGTACTGTGCTCTGATTTGATGTAGTGAAACGTAGTGACAAGGTAATGCTAAGGTTCAGCTATTTAACTATGTCGCAAGATGAAATGACAATCAATGGCCTGCAACGTTACACACTGCAGCACCATGTTGCGGTCGGATACTTTGTCCCGAACCCCAAAAACCTAACCCTGAGAAGCGACACTTATGAATGGACATGGAAAAGCGTGAACAAAATTGGTGATTATTGTAGAGCTTCGCACACCGTGATGCCATGAGGGTTATGTATAGTAGTGTGAGCGTTGTTCATGTGCTCGGCGCGTGCGCGCAGGTGCAGAGCACAGTGTGATGTTCTTTTCATACCGCAGCTTGTAACCATCTTACCACACATCTTTTGTCGAATTTTCGTGCTTGTTCTTGTTCTTGTTGTTGATGTTGTTGTTGCTGCTGTTGTTGTTGTTGTTGTCGTTGTTGTCGTTGTTGTCGTTGTTGTCGTTGTCGTTGTTGTCGTTGTTGTCGTTGTTGTCGTTGTTGTTGTTGTTGTTGGTGGTGGTGGTGGTGGTGATTGCGGTGGTGGTGGTGATTGCGGTGGTGGTGTTGGTGTTGGTGTTGGCGTTGTTGTTGTTGTTGTTGCTGGTGGTGGTGGTGGTGGTGGTCGTCGTCGTCGTCGTCGTCGCTGCGTCGTCGTCGTCGTCGATACCCCTGCAGCTTTTTTCTCAGTCTCATAGTGGCCGAAAATCGTGAAATAGGTTGTCTTTTCACGTTTTTTTTGAACCTCGGAGGAAAAAAATGTAAATGCCGATGTTTTTTGGCCAGTGCCTTGCTAACACACTGGCATTTACGTTGCATGGATGCTTTCTGAGGCTTCGAAGACTTGAAACAGCTCTTAGACAAAGCTCGTTTGCAAAGCGGCGTGGAACTTGGAGGAGCACCCGAGGTGGGGAGCCAAGTGCCCACACAGTGCCCAAACTTAAAAACATTTTAATCAAAATTGCCCAGCAAGAACACCCCTTTGGGCTTGGTTTCTTGGCTTTCTGGAAGCCATGACCCCAGGTTTCAAACCCAGGTTTAAAGTTTAAAGCCTTGTCAGTGTTTGCGGTAAAGAAGAATCATCTCTGATTGCATTCTCGTGGGGCTGGAGGTGACTCTGTCAACGTTAATGCACCTGCTGCGGTTCATCTCCCAGAAAGGGTTGAGAAATGCCTTTGGGCGAGAAAGCGAAGCTCCATGGCTGAATGGACAGCTTGTGAGCCAATCCCACTGATTTTTTTGGTTGCAAGTCGTTCTGTTGATGGGCAACCCAAAGAAACAACTCGACATTGTGTCTTGCACTCCCAGGCCTTTCACGTGGAAGGATGAGACTTGCCTTGAAATTGGACACGTTCTAGCAATTTGGGCACTGTGCACCCTTGCGCATCGCATGATTTGGATCCGAGGCACCGAAGCTGATGTGGCCACCTATCGCCAGTTGTTTCGGCAAATCAAAAGTCAGAGCGGAGAGCAGAACCTCAGCGGCAGATGGGCTGGTCCCCCAGAAAGCCTGGGATGGAATGCATTTTCCCTCCGAAAAGGGCAGAACCAAGTCAAAAAACCGTATCTGTTGGTTATCTCATTTCTAGCCACCCGCTCACACACACATTATGTATGTGAATATATATATATATATGTATATCTATTATATATATATATAAATATTATGTGTATATATATATATATGGTAATCGATCTAAAGGTCCTTGTAAAGAGTTTTAATTGCGAAGACCGTTCATGTTATGTTGGGAACCCGCGCGAAACTTTTTTCGAGTTCGCGAAAGTAACGTTTTTATTCGCGAAAGTTTCGCGAAAGTTGGATAATCATTATGTAAAGGGCTGCCACCCACTGCCGCCCGGGGTCCGGCAGGAGAAGGGCACCGGAGAATTTCGGTTTGGTTCTGTTCAGTTACCCTGTGTGGTGGTGCTTTTGGGCAATGATTGGTAGCAGCCGAGCTTCCAAAGGTGAGGCTTCGCGACAGCCAAACACCATGGTCCTGAAGCACATCCTTGCCCCTGCCGCTGTCACTGCCTAATGGTCCTTTTTGAAGTCTCAAGAAACAAGCTCCAAATGCAGCAGCCAAGTTTCCAAAAGTGAGGCTTTGCGAGAGCCAAACACCAAGGCCCGAAAGTTCTGCGCAGGAGCGGGCGAAAGTCAAAGTGCATGTTGAAGGGGGTGGGTCAGTAAACCTGGCAAAAAAAACCCAGTCAGCAACACTCTGTCCTGAGAAGGGATTCCGTGATGCTAGCTGCATGTTAAAAAGGCTATCAAGAAGTGATCCGTGATTCTCTGGCGTAATTTGGCAGGTGGTGAACGAATCTTCAAAGGAGGCGCTGTTGCCCAACATGGGCCCCGCGAAAGATAAACGTGGAGTTCGCGAAAGTATATCAATGGCCGTTTGCGAAAGTATATTCGCGAAGAATGGCCGTTTTTGCGGATAAAGGAATCTTGATCAACAACCATAAAAATAAATAGATAAAAACATGTATATATATATGAATATCAATAAATAAATAAATAATAAAAAGAATGTATATATATATATATATGTATTAAGGGGCTACCGCCCCGCAGCCGACCCCTGGGTCACACGGGCGAAGCTGTTTATGTCAGTCACGGTCCACATGGTTGAATACCACTTTAGTATTGCAGGAGCTTTTTGTCAGAGGTGTGCATGAAACACAGTAAAGCGATAGGGCCCTTCCCAAAAGCGATAACCTGGGACCATACATGACAGTCCATTCAACTTGGCGTAAGCCAAGCAAATACTGTTATGCGCATTCACAGAACGGGCAAAACCGTGGGCTCGCCAGTTCCAAACACCATGAGAGGGAAGTCCGGACGGGGTCCTTCGACACACGGCTGCCTGTGCCTAACGTCGCTTTCTGAAGCGGTAAGAAATGAGCTCCGAATCAACAACCACAGTGGGCTCGCCAACCTAATGTTGCTTCTGAAGCTGTAAGACGCTAGCTCCGAATGCAACGGCCGGGCCTCCAAAACTGTGGACTCGCCAGTTCCAAACACCATGAGAGTGAGGAACTAAAAGACGGACGAGCCCTTCGGCTGGCAGCTGCCTCTGCCTAACGTTGCTTTCTGACGCAGCTAGAAATTAGTTCCAGTTTCCAGCTTGCAAGCCTTCAAAACTTTCCCTCCGCACCACCGAAGCACCATGGAACTAAAGGACGGGCACGGCCTTCGGCTGGCAGCCGCCTGTCCCTAACATCGCTTTCTGACGCAGCTAGAAATTAGTTCTAGACACTAGGTCTAGATTCTAGACTAGATAAGCTCTACACTCCAGATAGCTCTAGACTCTAGATTCCAGCTTGCAAGCCTCCAAAATTTTCCCTTCGCAGGACCGAAACACCATGGAGCTAAAGGACGGACGGGGCCTTCCGCTGGCAGCTGCCAGTGCTAACGTCGCTTTCTGACGCACCCAGAAATTAGTTCTAGATTAGCTCTAGGCTCTAGATTAGCTCTAGAGCCTATAGATTAGCTCTAGACTTCAGATAGCTCTAGATTCCAGCTTGCAAGCCTCCAAAACTTTCCCTTCGCAGGACCGAAACACCATGGAGCTAAAGGACGGACGGGGCCTTCGGCTGGCAGCTGCCTGTGCCTAACGTCGCTTTCTGACGCAGCTAGAATTTAGTTGTAGAGTAGCACTGGGCTCTAGATAGGCTGTACACTAGATAGCTCTAGACTCTAAAACTTTCCCTCCGCAGGACGGAAACGCCATGGAACTAAAGGACGGACGGGTCCTTCGGCTGGCAGCTGCCTGTGCCTACCATCGGTTTCTGGAAATTAGTTCTAGATTAGCTTTAGACGCTAGAGTAGATTAGCTCTAGACTCTAGATAGCTTTAGACTTTAGTTTCCAGCTTCCAAGCCTCTGAAACTTTCCCTTTGCAGGACCGAAACACAATGGAACTAAAGGACGGACGGGGCCTTCAGCTGGCAGCTGCCTGTGCCTAACGTCGCTTTCTGACGCAGCTAGAATTTAGTTGTAGAGTAGCACTGGGCTCTAGATAGGCTGTACACTAGATAGCTCTAGACCTCTAGATTCCAGCTTGCAAGCCTCCAAAACTTTTCCCTCGCAGGACCGAAGCATCATGGAACTAAAGGACGGACAGGGCCTTCGGCTGCAGCTGCCTGTGCCTAACGTCGCTTTCTGACGCAGCTAGAAGTTAGTTCTAGACTAGCTCTAGACTCTAGACTAGATTAGCTCTAGACTCTAGCTAGCTTTAGATTCCAGCTTGCAAGCCTCCAAAGCTTTCCCTTCGCAGGAGCGGAACTAAAGGACGGACGGGGCCTTCGGCTGGCAGCTGCCTGTGCCTAACGTCGCTTTCTGACGCAGCTGGAAATTAGTTTTACACTAGCTCTGGACCCAGACTAGATTAGTTCTAGATTCTAGACAGCTCTAGTTTCCAGCTTGCAAGCCTCCAAAGCTTTCCCTTCGCAGGACCGCAACCAAAGAAACGGACAGGGCCTTCGGCTGGCAGCTGCCTGTGCCTAACGTCGCTCTCTGACGCAGCTGGAAATTAGTTTTACACTGTAGCTCTGGACCCAGACTAGATTAGTTCTAGACTCTAGATAGCTCTAGTTTCCAGCTTGCAAGCCTCCAAAACTTTCCCTTCGCAGGACCGAAACATCATGGAACTAAAGGACGGACAGGGCCTTCGGCTGGCAGCTGCCTAACGTCCCGTTCTGACGTAAAGTAGCTCTAGACTCTAGATTAGTTCTAGATTCTAGACTCTAGATTAGCTCTAGACTCTACATAGCTCCAGCTTGCAAGCCTCTAAAACTTTCCCTTCGCAGGACCGAAACACCAACGAACTAAAGGACGGACGGGGCCTTCGGCTGGCAGCTGCTTGTACCTAACGTCACTTTCTGACGCAACTAGAAATTAGTTCTATTAGATAGGCCTTAGATAGCTCTAAACTCTAGATAGCTCTGGATTCTATCTAGATAGAGATAGATTCTACCAGATTGCTCTAAATTCTAGCTTGCAAGCCTCCAAAGCTTCCCTCCACAGAACCGAAACACCATGGAACTAAAGTACGGACGAGGTCTTCGGACATAAAGGACGGACGAAGCCTTCCGCTAGCAGCTGCCTCAGCCTAACTTCGCTTTCTGACGCGAATGACGGCCGGAATCCTTCGATACACGACTCCCTATATCCAGCGTTGCTTTCTGAAGCTGTAACAAATGACTGCCTGTGCCTCACGTCGCCTTCTAAACCTGTAAAATAGCTGCCTCTGCCTAACGTCGCTTTCTGATGCGACTCAATGCTGGGATCCTTCGATGCACGGCTCCCTGTCTCGAACGTCGCTTTCAGAAGCTGTAACAAACGACGGCCTGTGCCTCACGTCGCTTCCTACATCTGTAAGAAACTAGCTTCCAGAACATTGCTTCCGTTTTTCATCCGTCATCGCAGCCTCTTTCTTGCCCATTTGGCATTGCTTGTCAGGCGCGCTCCCCCTGGTTCCCTGGTTTCGGCGGATTATACATACTATATTGCACATATGGAATATTAATATACCACAAAATATCACCGTTCAATGGTTGCGTTCATACCCCAGATAGATCAATTTTCTCTTCGCCCACTGAAGCTGCAGCTGAAGTTGCAGCTGCCGCGAGGTCAGAACATGATGGCCCACCAAGTGCCTTGCATGCTTTGGAGGATCGGCGTCATGTGGGCTGACTACTTACAGTCCTTCAAGATGTGTATGATTTGTGTATGTACGTATGTATGTCTGTATGTATATATTTAAATAACATAACACAACACACACACATTTATATATTCATTCGTCAGTTGCCGATACTCTGCCTACTTATCCAAATGTAATGTAGAATATATTCCTCGAAACGCTTCCTTGTATTTGCCAAACTGGTTTCCATAACAGATCTATCGCGCATGGCTAAAACTTCACATGGTCTGCCACCAGGAGCACCTACTGCTTAGTGCATACCACTTCCCAAACAGTACGAAGATCCGATTTTGCACTCACACGAAATGAATATAGAGTTCCACACATGCGTTTTGCGGCTTTCAACCTTTACCTATCTCTTTCTCTTTGTTCCACTTCTTTTACCTTCTCAGCAAGCGATCAGTCTACATGACTCCAATGGAGCAGGGATACCTCAGCATTACTGCAAGGTCAACATGCACGTTTTTGTTGGCATTGCTTGGATGACCCTTCGTTTTAGGAGCAGCAACAAGAAACCTCAGTATGATGTCGTCAGGTTTTCTATGTCTCCTACAGTCCTGCAACCTTCGCAGAGCCAACATAATCCGCTCAATCTGCTAAGGCTTGGTGAGGAGATCTGAGTCGGGTCTAAGAGTCCCTTTCCCGCTGGTGGCTTAGTGCACTGTCCATGGTTCTCAGGGTCAACCCCGACTAACAAAGCCTAGTTGATTATTTAGGGGTCACCAGAAAAAACAAAAAGCTGCTTTTGTAACTAAGCCAACCAGGGTTTATTAATCCAGGGCTGACATTGTTCGCAGTGATCGTATTACACGCATGGCTGCTCAACCTGTGACATTTTACAGGCCAGGAGCCAAGCCCGGGATGCACAAAATTCCGAGCAAATGTGGTCAAGGCAGCACTGGGGGCACACGATGCACACGCCTGAATAGCAGCTTGACAAGTAAGGTCGATGAATTTGCTGCTTTCAAGATGAGAGAACCATGTTTCAGGACTGCGAAAGGACTATCCGGTTTTGCTCAAGAAGGTCAAGCCAAGCTCTAAGACTCTCATAAGACTCTTAGAGAGCGTTTTCTATGTGCTTTCTATGGCAGACACAGTGTGGTGCTTTGGTTCTGTTGCCTCTGCCAAGGTCTGCATTGGGCGTTCCCAGCTCCATTCCCCAGGCCAGGGCTGCTAGGTCGATAATTTCGATTCGGCCCCGTCTTGCACGCAAGGTTTCATGTGGTGCAGCCGCGAGCCAAGAGGGACTAGATCCCATTTTTGTTGGCCATTGAATTATCAAGTTCAGGGTGGAAAGTTGGGCATGGTTCACTTATTGCACCACAGAACGTCCAATATTTCTGGTTCCCTGTGCATCCTGGGCCTTGCATGTTGATGCACATATAATATATATATATACACACATATGTATGTATGTATGTATGTATGTATGCATGTGTGCATGTGTGCATGTGTGCATGTGTGTATGTGGGTATGTGTATATGTATGTATGTATGTATGCATGCATGGATGTATGTATGTATGTATGTATGTATGTATATATGTATGTATGTATGTATGTACGTACGTACGTACGTACGTATGTATGTATGTATGTATGGTATGTATGGTATGTATGTATGTATGCATGCATGGATGGATGCATGGATGTATGTATGTATATATGTATGTACGTACGTACGTATGTATGGTATGTATGGTATGTATGGTATGTATGGTATGTATGGTATGTATGGTATGTATGGTATGTATGTATGGTATGTATGGTATGTATGGTACGTATGGTATGGTATGGTATGGTATGGTATGGTATGGTATGGTATGTATTGTATTGTATTGTATTGTATTGTATGTATTGTATGTATTGTATGTATTGTATGTATTGCATGTATGTATGTATGTATGTATGTATGCATGTGTGCATGTGTGCATGTGTGCATGTGTGCATGTGTGCATGTGTGCATGTGTGCATGTGTGCATGTGTGCATGTGTGCATGTATGTATGTATGTATGTATGTAAGTAATGTATGTATGTATGTATGTGTGTATGTATGTATGTATGTAATGTAATGTAATGTAATGTAATGTATGTATGTATGTATGGCATGTATGGTATGTATGTATGTATGTATGTATGTATGGCATGTATGGTATGTATGGTATGTATGGTATGTATGGTATGTATGGTATGTATGGTATGTATGGTATGGATGGATGGTATGGTATGGTATGGTATGGTATGGTATGGTATGGTATGGTATGGTATGGTATGGTATGGTATGTATGGTATGGTATGTATGGTATGGTATGTATGGTATGGTATGTATGGTATGGTATGTATGGTATGGTATGTATGGTATGTATGTATGGTATGTATGTATGGTATGTATGGTATGGTATGGTATGGTATGGTATGTATGGTATGTATGGTATGGTATGTATGGTATGGTATGTATGGTATGGTATGTATGGTATGGTATGTATGGTATGGCATGTATGGTATGGTATGGTATGGTATGGTATGGTATGGTATGGTATGTATGGTATGGTATGTATGGTATGGTATGGGTATGGTATGGTATGGTAGGTATGGTATGGTAGGTATGGGTATGGTATGGTATGGTATGGTATGGTATGGTATGGTATGGTATGGTATGGTATGGTATGGTATGTATGGTATGGTATGGGTATGTATGGTATGGTATGGTATTGTATGGTATGTATGGTATGTATGGTATGGTATGGTATGGTATGGTATGGTATGGTATGGTATGGTATGGTATGTATGGTATGGTATGGTATGGTATGTATGTATGGTATGTATGTAAGGTATGTATGTATGGTATGTATGGTATGTATGGTATGTATGGTATGTATGGTATGTATGGTATGTATGGTATGTATGGTATGTATGTATGTATGTAATGTAATGTAATGTAATATAATGTAATGTAATGTAATGTATGTATGTATGTAGTGTATGTAATGTATGTAATGTATGTAATGCATGTAATGTATGCATGTAATGTATTAATGTATTAATGTATGTATGTATGTATGTATGTATGTACACACATATATATATACATATTCTGTTCATAAATTCTATCGCTTGATCAACTTCCAGGTCATGAAGTTCCTGCGGAAGTTGAGCCAACGGTGTGACGAGCGGCTAACGCCACTGCAGCAGCCACTGCCTTGGAAATTTTCAGCTGACAAATGACACAAATGGCCTCAGACACGACGAGGCGAAACGTCCCAATAGAAGTAGAACATCATTGGAATGATGCTCCAAAGTCTTTTAGATACCCCTTGAAGCTTGCATTCTTTGTTCTGACAGTGCTGACGTAGCTTTTCTTTGGATATTTGATGTTGGGGTATGTGTCGCGTCAACAGGGGTAAAATGTTTCAGCTTGACTAAAGGCCTCTCAACAATAAACTGCAAAAATCCACAGTATAATGATAGCATGATCTATAGCAGGCATATACAAAGTTTGCACATGAACCAACTAGAAATATGGCTTCTCACTGCTCTGCTTACAGATTGACCGCTGGAACTGAGGGCAGACCTTTGGAAGAAGATTCAGGATTTCAGTGCTCGACTTATTTGGTTTTCTATTTGGGCAGGTGTCGGGTTTGTCTGGATCACCTTCAAAAGTCTGCAGATGAACTTTTCATGTTTGTGTTGAATTTTGCATCAGGTGTGTCAAGCACAAACCGAGACTTTATGGACTTCGCTTCATTTGCTTCTTAGCTCTGATGTTGGGCATGAACTCTGCTGCTTTCATGTTTTGCAAATGAGTACAGGACTTCAGCTTTTGTGGCAAGCAGTTTACTACCTGACACTAGCAGATAGGTTTCAAGAGTATTTTGAAAAGGACCCCCCAACTCATGATGGTCGCACAAGTCTTAAGCAACCAGAGGGGAACGGTCTTTGCAATCCATTTCCGACAAGGTGGTCAATCAGCAAGACTTGGGCACATGTCTGGGTTTTTGCAAACTCCACATTTGCACGTTCAACTGCAAGTGATGCAGGGGCAAAAATAGCGAGACGATGCAAAACACGAAACATTTGCTTAGATTCACAGTGCAATGCACTGCTCACTGCATCAAACTAGTGCTCAACTTGACATGGAAAGTTGGTGACAAGCAGATTGCTCTGACCCACAAACCAGATTGCTCTGAGGTTCAGACAATTGGTTGGGTGCGTAGAACAGACTTTGCAAATATTCGCCAAGAATCTGACAAAGTCGGATCATTTTTGGCGCTAGCAGAGTCAATCTTGAGTGCCAAGTGACACCTCAGCGTTGCGCAGAAGATGGGCTCACTCGCGTCTGTGGTGATGTATTCTTCAGCTTGTGTGTGTGCCCAGGTTTTTCGCCGTTATGACAAAATGCCAATCAAACTTTTGACCTGCGACCTGCGTTTCCAATGCAGAGGTGTGTTTGCTTTTATCGATAGGTTCAAGTTTTCTGAATCTGAAAGATGGACCATCAAGGTTACCCAGAGAGCCAACACCCATGGCTCCAATGTAAAGTGAGATTGAACCAGGATGAACCAGGTATTTGGTATGTGTTTCTTTGGCTTGGCGGTCCACCGAATCTACATCCTAGCGCGTCCGAGATGTGTTCTTTGCTGGGTCCCCCCAAAGCCGCAAACTCCAACTTCAGCATGGACGAGAGTCACTCCTCGAACATCGCAGGGAAGCATGGGCTCTGAGGAGCCATATTTTTTTTATCGCCTCGGCCTGGACTGTTCTCCTTGTTCTCCTGTTCCACTTTGAAATGAATCATAGTCATGACATGAGGGGATTCTGCAAATTGTCCTGCTACAACAGCCGAACAGTCAAACTTAGCTCCAAGCAGCTTCTAAGAAGCTCAGAACATCATGTCGATGGGACAATCTAGGGGCCTAGACTGCGACTCGAAAAAAAGGTGGTTTCCAGTACGCAATGCTGAAGTGGACAAATCTACACTTCATAACCTCATATTGACATCTACCGACCGCGCGAAGGTTTTCCTTCACAAGCGCTGTTGGGGTTCTCAAGGCGCTTGGATTGGCATGAGGACGACTTAGGTTCACATTTAGGCTCCAGCTTCGCACAGCATTTTTCTCGCTGAAAGCAAGTAGTAGAGGCAACAGTTTCTTCATGGCAGATCTATATGAAGGTGGAACATGCAAGACAAACTACTTGGATATGCAGACATCCCTGCTTGCATATGCTTGCTGACAAAAACATAAATATCATAAACATCTCTCTCTCTCTCTCTCACTCTATGTGTATATATATATACGTATATGTATAAGTATAATATAATAGACGCTTGTTTACGTGTGTAATACACTGAACATGTAAATGGACCTCAGCTCTGATTCTAGTGATGGAACCTCCGATACTGACGGCCCTCAGCTGATCTCAGCTTGACATTAGAAGGCTCCAGAAGGCTCCCATCCGTCCATCGTGTCCAGCCGGGCGTGTCATTTGCCTCTGCAGTGGGTGCGCCTTCAAGTGCCAACCTTGGTCCATAATTTCTGCAAGGAAGCGACGCAGCAATCATGTCCCTGGAAGTTGTATATTGAGAAGTTAAGCTGGAGATTTCAGGCAACTTGCTCTGTCGAAATGCTCTGAGGTGGGCAAGATGGGAGAGGTGCAGATAACAGCAGAAGCATGCGGTAGCATCGATTCTCAGATCATTCTGAGTCCTTTGTTCAGGTAGATGGTGAGACCCAGCTGCAAGAGTTGCTTAGAAGACCGCCTGCAGATGTGGCAACTTGGGTTGTGCAGCAGGTGCAGCATGGTGTTTGTTGTAATGGGGTCTGGGGATCTAGGAATTCTGCATCGAGATCAAAAGAAGAGTGTGCCCGCACAGCACGGTCTGCGAGGCTCAAGCCCTCTCTTCTGGCGAACCCGTTGAACAGTTGCAAATCTTTCAGGTTGCAGGCAGGTTTGATTCAACAAGATTCTCCAAAGAAGATTCAAATACACATCGCTGCCAAGTTCCGAACTTTGCCTCTGAAATTCCTGGACCGAAATTGATCATTAAGAAATATGGAAAAGTAAATGTATGGTGTAGTCGAACCCCAATGCTTGAGCCCTCTGCAGCATGTTTCTGTGCTTGGTCGGTATGCAGGGGCTTTGAGTGCAGTCCCCGTGGAGCAAAAGCAGGCTGGGGATGTTGTCTTGCACGGTCTTGCATCGTCAAATGTGGTCAATTTATGGCTGTTGCAAAGCAGGAATTGATGAAGAGTGCCATCTCTGGCTTTGGTCAGCTGCCAGCCGACCAGCGAGTAGAGGCGAGTTGTTGTTTGGAGTTGGATGGTACTTTACGTTTTTGCGCTGGTTTCCTATTTGTCAATGTTTGGCATGTTTGGCTCTATCCAGCATCCTTTGGATACAATTTCAAGTAATTCAAGCTTTTGAAGGGTGAAGAAAGCAGCCTGATTCTTCTTGGATGGAGGCCCTCCGTTTCGCCGTGAACACCGCAGTGGTGCCCATCTCATACTTCACTCAGCAAGGGCTTGGTAGAACCTGGTAGAACCTGGTAGAGGTTGTTTCCCGAGGCTGGCAGCTCGAACGCCTCCAATGTAGCTTGCCAGCATATCCAGCATATCCAGCATATCCAGCACATGGATCTTACATTATCCTACCTTTGAACACTTGACATGTTTCCGCCGTTGAGTCGTTGACAACCTGAAGTCCAAGGCGACTGGACGTGCGGATCCTGTGATGCAGGTCAGGTGGGGGCAGCTGCCAGCCCCAAATACATTTCCAAATCCAAATCAAGAGGCAAAGGAGAGCAAGAAAATGTAGAATGTAGACCAAGCTGGCTAAGCAAACAAGATGAACAAGTTGTCCAGCAAATCTGAATCGGTCAGCAGAGTGCTCTTTGCTCAGAACGTGGGCAAGCTCCTCAAGGAAGCCAAAATAGACAAATTGCCTCCAGCGGAGAAGCAACAGCTTGCCCAGGAGTGATGCAGGAACTGCATGGAATTCTGTTTTGAACTTGGCATTAAGCAACACTGATGAAAACTGAAGTTGCAAAAATTAGGATAGGTGAATAACACTTACGGAACCATGGGAAACGGAGAAACAAAATGACACAAATGTTTCAAACATCCATAAAGACCAGCTATTTGTGGTGTGACATGGTGTGATTTTTGAGGGTACCAGACTGGACCCCCCTAGGAGATTCAGCAAGATGCTGCACAGCTGGTGCAGCCTCAGCAGATTTTGGAGGCGAGAAGTTGCCGCAGCGACAGATAGGCCCTCAGATGGCCCTAGATGGCCCAGATGGCGCCAGGTGGTTGCAGAGCTGAAGCCTGAAGAAAGGGAGCACGTCACGGAGGCAGTGGATTTCCAGATGATCTGGGTGATTTTGAGTGTGAAGCTCTCAGGATGGCTGGAAGCGAACCATCTGGATCAATTTCTTCTTTGGAAGTACATTGTCTTTCTTAAATCTTTCAATTTGCTGTACCCTTGATCTTCCAGTATCTTCCAGTTATATGTGTGTGCTATCCTTCCGATTGACGCGGTGTCGGCGGTGTCGATGGCTCAAAGATATTGGTAGTGCTGCAAAGTTGACGTGTCGATGGCGGCTTCGACCGTGACAGCGACTCCAGCGACCTATTCAGTGTCCTGACAGCACAGAATGCACAGATGGGAAAATGAAGGATTTAACATGATTTACCTGGAATTTACCCCAAGGTATGGCATTTTTTGACAGGGAAACTGATGTTCAAAATCCTAAAAGCATGGGATTCTAGGGGTATCCCATTTTTGGACAAACCCACTTGCTTGATTGCAGACGCTGCCGCCGTGGCTGTTGACAACAGCCCAGGTCGCAAATGCAACGAGCAGTCCAGTGTTGCTGCCTCATACATTGCGAGTGCTTAGAAAAACACACGCTACACCGCTACACAAATTTGAAAAATCACTGGAGGCTGTATCCGTCCTCATCACCTGTTCCTGCTTACTATGGTGGAAATGGGTGTGTTCCTCAGAGAAACATCTAGAGAGATCTTCCGGATTCTGTATGGTCTTGGTTGTTGTCAAGCCACAGGTCATATGTACCCGGAGCAGTGACGCCGCAGGCCTTCATCCTTGTCAGCCTTGAGTTTCCAACACTGCATTTGTGCAGTAGGACAAGGTACAATTGTTACAAGGTAAACGATATAAATCTATATAAGTCTTGCATAATCTTATAACTTATAGCGTAAATGATAGACGGATCTCCATCTGCAAGGCAGGTCCTGGCTTGTCGGATCCTCAATCCTGCCGGCCTTGTGGGTTCCCTCTGTCACGATCGAAGTACCGAGTCACCGAGTTCACCTTTCTGCCAGCCTTAGTTATCTTAGTTCACCTTTCTGAGGTCGTATGTCCCACCTGTGGGAGCACCGCCAGGGGCAGCGGGAGTGTCTCTTGTCAAAGCCAAGTCTTCTTGTCCCTTCTTTGGTCTCCTTTGGTGACGGGTGATGACCTGGGTGATGGTAGTGCGGTTGCGGAGACCCAGGAACCTCACGGAGGGAATCCCCGATCCAGATTCGATTGAGCAGTCTTGAGCCGAGGCTATGACCAGTCGAGTGGCAAGACTTTTCAATGTCCTTTCGCTGAGGCAAAAGCGTGCATACGAACGAGGTCTGGATGCAGAACTGAAACAGTCCCAAACCTGGAGGAAATGCAGATTCCCAAAATTGTTTTTAATGTTTTTAAATGCTGTAGAGTCGTAGAGTGTGCTCTGAAGTTGCCAAGGACTCGCAAGCTTGCAGAGGAACAACTCAAGCAGTCTGCTGACCAAGATCTTAGGATTGGCATTCTGCCGGGTTGACACAGATATGTGCTGGCAACTCCTCATCGTTGCCTCGAGGCAAAAAAATGCGATTAAGCAAGCTGCAGAGCAGCAGCTTGCCATGTACAAGGCGCACTTGTCCAACTTGGAGTTTCCTCGCTAGAGCTTCTATACAAAGCTTTCTTTCTATATCACATTTTTTAGCACTCTTTCACAGGGTTTCTCAGGTCTCATCAGACAAAGATAATGTACATCTTGCATATACGTTTGATATGTATTATATAATAGTATATATATATTTATATATATATATATATATTATATATATATATGATACACACATATATATATATGATATATATATATGTAATATTGGATGTTTCCATTTTGTGGACAGATTATGGCTTAAACACATTTGTAGACATTTGTGATACTGCAAGAAAGGAAGCGTGACAAAGGGACATTTTGTGCACCTCCCGAACGCCCAATTCATGCACCGCTTCCCGCACCGTGGAAACATCTAGGACTAGGAAATGACAGGAATAATTAGTTGAGAAGGCATTCAAAATCACGGGGGAACATGAAGAATCAAAAACCAGTGTCTTGGACGCAAAGTAACGGAACACACCACAGCCCCTTCAAAAGATGCAAAGCAATGCGGCTATTCACCCTATCTTTGTGCGATGGTGCTCAGAAAACTGTGAATGCTGAATCTGATATCTACGGTCCAGCAGGCTAGGTACCCAAGCTTGCGGTGTGAGCGGAGTCTTGGGAACGGAATGCTCTCCCAGGATTCGGCTCTCTAATGGTTTGAAAAAATGTCTCAACAATGTGGGTCAAGATGGTCAAGATGGCATATTATATGCATGATCATCCGTGGCTTCGTCACGATTCTAAGTCATAATTACAGTACTTCACTGGGGCCCTGCGGAACCTCAGTGCTTTGTTGTAAGATTTTTTGTTTGAGGGCGACCTCACATGACAAAAGCCAGCAACGAAAGAACCAATTTGCTTGCAAACAATCTAACTTTCAGAGATATATCATGGCGGAACTTTGACAGAGCTTCCAACACATCTTACAACAATGTGTTGTGGCGGAACTTTTGCACTTGAGATTGGTTAGGCGCAGGTAGAGCAGTCTATCAAGCAGCAGGAGCTGAGTGAGAATCTCTGTCTTCAGATGACTTGAGATGAGGGATGCCAGGGACGCTGTGTCCAGATGTGGAAAACAGTTGCAGCCCACTGTCCACTCTTCTGAGGCCTCGATCATCAGTGGCAGCAGCAGCAGATGGAGTTGCAGCAGGTTTGCATTGCCCCTTCCACCGTTTTCAACATTTTGACTTGTCGACTCCTTGCCTTGACATCGTGACATTTGACAGATTCAAGACAGATTCAAGAGTGGTGTGCCAGGCATTTCTGAAGCAAAAGGCTGCCCTCGAGCATCAGGCGGGTGTCCTTTTGGACCATGGCCGGTTTCACCGGTTTTGGATGGTTTTGGGGTGTCAGCTGTTCAACTGCCGAAGGCCAGCTCCTTGGCCATGGAATATCAGCAGCGGAAGATGCATGAGGATCTTCTGAAGAAGCAGGTGCCATGGCCATGTCATGGCTGCCATGGGATTGGATCATATCTGATTTATATTTGCTTTATAATATATAATATATTATATTATATTATATTGTATTGTATTGTATTGTATTGTATTATATTATATTATATTATATATATATATATAATATTATATAATATTATATATAATATATTATATATAATATATTATATTATATATAATATTCGATCCCAGTACTGGGATGGATTTGCATAGATTTGCACTGAAAGCGGCAAAGAAATCCAGTGGTTCTGGTCTTGTTTCTCCACTGTTCAGGCAGAGATGCACAGGGAGATGCATGACATGCAGCGACGCATACATCTGGACAGCCGGCACTTGGGTATGTCCAAAAATGTAACATCACTACCCGAACCATATCCAACCGTTGATTTCCTCTACTAAACAGCCATTTTTTGGGGGTATCCTAGTCTTGGGCAATCCCATTTGTTTTTTTTTAAACTATGGAATCCGAAACTCGTATGGTTTATATATACGTAGATAAATATTTCCAATGGTGCATCGTTTGATTGCCAAGGAACAGAACCAGAACGGGAACCCTGTAACCCTTGAACCCCTTGAACCCCTTCTGTTGTTGGGTTCAAAGCTGGGTCAATCATAATTTTCCAGCATGTCCCCATAAAAAGCGCAAGTTACCTACCAGAAGGCTCCTGCCAATCCTAGATTGGATGAAATGATCAACCCGTATTTCAGGAGCTTCAAGAGCATCAGCAGCAGTGCCCCAGTTGCATCGACGTGCCTTGTGATCAGACTTGGGCCAAACATAAGGGGCCCAAAACAGCAGTTTGATCAGACAACCTGATCCTTTGATTCAGGGGCTTTGAAGGGCATTTTGGTATTGCACGCTCCTTCCAGTGAGGCAAGCGAGCTTGCAGCAACAACATGCAGCCAAACCCTGAGGGCCTTACGTGGGTTTGCTACGAAGATATTTTGGCGGGCCTGCGTCACTGCGTTTGGATCCAAGGTCCAGAGACAGCAACATCAGGAGGAGTTGGCTGCACAGCAGGCAAGGTCATCATGTGCCAGTTGAGCCATGTTTGGAACTTGCTTGGAAATGCATGTTGCATCCAGCCAACCTCGCAACAGGCGAAGTATTTGCAGCAGTCGCAACCTTGGCAACGTCGGGACTCTGCCTAGGTGAAACTAGTTCCACTAACTTGATTTTGTTTCTTGTTTTTTTCCCAAGCCAAGGGGCTGCCTCGTTTCATGCACCTGATAGGTCAACGCAGCCCGGACATGCACAGACCTTAGGACAGGAAGCCAAAGAGCTACAGCAACTCTGGTTTCAGGAATGAAACATATATATATATATGTATATATATATATATATAGACATATATATATATATATAGACATAATATTATATTATATATATAGAGTCTGGAGCTGAAACATTTCAAGGTGCTGTTGCCAAGTAGTCGGACGTCCATATTGAATCATATTGGATGAATTGTTCTTGGAAACAGTACCAACGCTATGCAATGCTACCAGGTTTGGGCTGCGCCTATGCACAATAGCTTCGCTGTTACTCAACCAACCCAAGTTAGCCAGCTTGTCTACCAGGTGAGATTTGCCCAGCAGCTTGTGGAAAGGAAACGTCCTTTTGTTTAGTTCTACATGTGAGTTTTGATCAGCCTCAGCGTCTGCCCTCTCTTCTGACTCCTCTTTTTTTGATGTTGAATTTTCAGCCTTCCATCCATTGAAACAGGCACCGGCTGCGACAGCTGCAGCAATGCCAGCAACCGTAGCAAAGGCCGGATCTATTTTGAGTCAATGACGCAGCAAATGGCAGCCATGTTTTGGAACTTTTCTCCACTGGAAGGTCTCGGAGCCACCACCTGCCGAGCCCATGGTTCCTTGGATTTTAGTGGTTGTGCGTTGATCAAATTGGTTTGTCCAAGAATTGGGAATGGTCAATTGAATGGGGATACATATGAAGGACCATTGAGACTTGGCGTGCCCTACTTCTAACAAACTCCAACAAAAATCTACATTGTTTCTAGAGTTGCTTGAGAAATCAGCATGTAGCACCCTAGCCAGCATGTATTCGCATCCACTTGAAACCAGTTGTGGGAACAGCGAAGCATCAAGCAGGTACTCGGTTCTGTACAGCAGATGCCTAACTATCCTGCAGGGGGCCCAAAAAAGCTTGGAGTGATAGTCTTTGCTTTGAACATGCAATTCAAAGCCGTGAAGGCTGTCGTGGTGCTTTCAGGATTTGCTTGCTTCTCCTCAGAACTATGCGCCGTCTACCCTGGTTGGCGGAGGTATCACAGGTATCACAGCCCCAGTCTCAGGATTTGACGAGGACTTGAAATCCATGGATCTGCGGCAATGACCTGCCATAACTGTGGCCACTGTGGCAATATTCACAGGGCAGATTCCAGTGTGGTGACCTGGTGTAGGCGTCGGCGCCAGCATCACACTGCCCCAATTGTGGCAGTGCTTTCCTCCCTGATGCCCTATACTGTCGGAAGTGCGGGACAAAACGGCCCCAGGCGGGTCTCGAGTCTCTCGTGGACAAGTCATTTGGGCTTCAGTTTCCTTGTTTCACTGCCCAATGTTGACGGAGATGATGGAAATGAGATCCACCCTGCAAGGCGTAGTTTGGGCAAACGAGCACAGTGGAGGTGGTCCAGAAAGCATTTAAAACATAGAAATATTATGAAATATTGCTAGACATTGGAGTCTAAAGAGCAAACTCACCAGCTGAGCTTTGCAACTTTCTACGGTCAGGATTCCTCAGCAGACGGGTTTTTACAGGTTTGGGTATCGCTGGAGCCCCAGCATTGCCCGTTTCGCCTTTTTGGCTCAGCCACGCTGATCCCTTGAGGTGAGATCACCGCGCCCAGATCTTGTGACTTTGCACTGCTTAGGGATTAGTTTAGGGAGAGAAGTGGGCAAGCCAAAGCACAACTCTGGTCAAAAGAATTTCTCTCATTTGCAATAGCATGCTATTTGTCAGTAGTTTTGGCTGTGACAGTGCTTGCCCTTAGATTTTGTCTGCGGCCATTAAGCAGTGGCTTTGCAGGGATAATGTTCAAGCTGTCGAGTGCTAGCAGCTCTTGCAGCTCTTGCTCATGGAGCTCTTTGCTTTTATAGCATAGCAAAATGCTCAACTCCTCACCAAATGATTTCAATGACCTGACCTATTGACTCAATATTGACCTACAGGCCTTTTGCTTTGCAGTTGAAGGAGCTGTGCATGTGAGGTTGAGGGTCAGACGAGTGAGATGTCTTCGCACCAATGTCTGAGACGTCTCCTTTGCGCAGTCTTCTTGTAATTCGACCTGCCGTCCAACAAGACTACGGTGTCAGGGAAGTGTTTGCCTTAAAAGCAAGGCTGCAGCTCAATTAAATTCTTATCATTCGCTTCAATGACTTTGTAAGAGCGACTGCCCTGCATCAACATAGGCAAGCAGTGGGTTGTCTGTGCTGAGTGTGACTTTCCGGCAGGCACTCATTGAAGCCAAGCTCGTTAACGAGGATTGCCCAGCGGTCTTTTTGGGGAAGTTGTGGGGAACATTTCCCGTACTCCATTCAGCTCCGTTCTCCTGTTATTTACCCGCAGCAGCTGAAGTAGACTCCAGATGGACGCTGTGCCCAGAAATGACATGGGATGACCACAAAGAGCCTTCCATCATCTTGACGATTTCTGCAATTGAAGGTCATGTGCCCGTGGGCAGTGTAGAAATGTGTAGAATGTGGAAACTTGCCTGTCAGGAGCAGAAAGCAGTGCTTGAACAAGCTATGCGTCCTGGTGGGTCAGACCATCAAGAATTCCGAATCTCTTTCGGGGGATTCTTGATCTCCAACGTGTGGCCAGGTATGCTGACAAGCTTGCAGCAGCTCTGAAATTGTGGGCCATGGTAGAGGAATACAGTGCGGTGTGGAACTTGGTGCCTTGTTGCTTTGAACTGCCAAAGGTCTCGACAGTCGCATGACAGAATGGCTCTGGCACAAACAGGCCACAATGGCTCGTAGCTGCTCTATAGCACCTCTTTAAAGACTTCGATTGAATAGACTTTTTAAGCTACAGCTTAGTGAATTCTGTTGAATTGATGGCTTGGTTGCCAAGGTCCTTCTTGCTCTGCCGTTTTTGGAGTTGCTGATGGCTTTGATGTTTGGCCCGGTGCCCTTGGACTCATTTACATTTTATATATATATATATACATCTACATATATATATAATTATATATATATACATACATACATACATACACGTAAACCAGTGATTTTGAGGGCTTTCTGCGCTTTTCTCTCTTGCTTGGCCATCTGGCCATTTGCCCAGGTGGACAGTCCTGTCCATCTGGCCTCTCAGTTAGGAGCTGAGAGGGTTGAAAAGGCATAAGCCACCGCATTTGCCACCATGGTAGTGTTGTTTGGAGTACAACCCCCAAAAAAGCAGACTTTCCCTGGGTACAATATCTTTCCATTATTGCCATACCCAGAAGCCAACCGCATGAAAAAAGTAAGCGTTGGTTACTGGTTTGGAGCCTCTAGCTGTCAAATGAATCAATGTGTGCCCTGATGTAGCACAACATGACATCGCACAGAGCCAGTCAGACCAGCCACGCAAGAACACTCAAAGTGTGCAGATCAAACCTCCTTTGTCTTTGCCAGAAACATACTCATTATGAGATGCCAACACGCACAGAAAAATATGGGACCTGCAGAACACGACATCACCACCTGACTGGCAATTCTCCTGCTGCAAAAGGATTCAAAGAACTCAGTTTGAACCTGAAACAGGTACCATGGTATGAGATGGAGTCATTCCACCATCGCTTCCATATCACATTCACTGAAACAACTTCAAAAGCACAAGAAGATCAAGAAGCAAGAGCACCACCTCAAGATGTGAGTTCGGTGAGAGCCCACCGCCCTCTACATCACCTGACAGAGGGTATAGGAGCATGGAATCCACAACTCCAGCTTTTGTTCAGGCATGGCTACGAGCAGACGCCATATCTGCCGTGGTCATGGTAGGTGGAGCCAGATGCTCAGCAAGATTGACTGCAATCCAAAAGCATTCAACAAAGGTACCGCGGCTGTTTCCTTCACCTTCATTAATTGGTTCAGGTTTGGTTGTGTAGCTCTCAACTAGAGCCAGTCCTTCAACATGTACGACAAGGCTGCGAGTCTGGGAATGAGAGCTGACCGCAGATCGTGACCATAGCAATTCTTTTCGCTGCAGATCCGGTTGGCGTTGGTCAGCAATGGCAGCAGAACCAGGCCCAACTTGTTTTCGGGCGGAGGAACAGCTGCTTGCAATTTGGCATTGCTTGTCAGCATTTGGTACTATCATGCCAATTTTGCCAGAACCTGCCCTTGCAGCAACGCTTGGAAATGCTGGTGCTGTGCTCAACTAGAGTTATGTCTATTTGGTGAGAAGCGCTTGACAAGATTCAAACAGCTATTTTGACGCTGATTGAGCAGGACGGAAACATTACACATTTTGACAGAGTGCCTGGGTGTTTTCAAGTCTTTCGCAGCGACAGGTGCCAGGTGTTGGCATCTTTGCTTATCAGCTGAGTGCAATTGGTTTCAGCCTCAGCATTCATTTACTTTCCAGATCAACTTCCTCTGAAATTTGCATTTCCACTTCCTTCCCAAGCGCGCCTTCAGCGACTCTAGCTCTAGCATTGAGCACCAAGCTTCAACGACATGCCTAGCAGACAGTGTTTGTACGTGTATGACAAGCACGAACTAGTTGTCTTAGAGTATAATTTCCCGGTCCAGGGTCCAGCAACATGTCACTGCCCCTTTTTTTTGGGTCAGAAAATGGGATACTATACCGTCCCCAAATCCACTGGTTTGGTCATCATACTCCCCATTAGCAAATGATACGGGAATATATGGGATCTCCGGACCCATGCTGTGCAAGGTGCAGTCATTGCAGTAGTCTTCCTGGCGTTTGGTCTTGCCAATACTCTCGTCGGCCTTATGGAAGCTTTGCAGAAAGTTGATACAGCTTCAAAATGATAGACTTAGCTGCAACATGCAACACTTAAGCACATGTATACGAGTATGTATGTATAATGTATGTATATTGTAATATTATATATACACGTAATATATATATATGTATATATATATATGATATGCATATATAATAATATATATATATGATATGCACATAATATATGTGTATATACATAATATGTATATGTATGTGTATGTATATGTGTATGTGTATGTGTATGTGTATGTATATGTACACGTGCAAGTACATGTGTGTGTGTATATACATATATATATATATGTGAATTCCAGCAGCCATCACTCCAGGTCCTTTTACCAATGCATGTGTTCGCAGGGATCTTTCCGTCAAGCGAGGAAAACAGAGCCCGTGCGATGCTCCTGGGGGAGCTCTTGCGTTTTGATTGGTAGCGGAGCCGGGAACACCCCGGCTCCCGCAGTTAGAATAGGGAGTTCTTTTGGCCTCGCGGTGTAGGCCCAGACAGCAACCATGGCATCGGCTGGTGAAAGCGCAGGGTCCCTGAGATATTTCTCAGGAGACAATGAAGATGCCCAGGAGTACAAGAGATGGCGTGCCTGGGTGAAAAACAAAATCATCACCTTGGACAAGCTTCCAACAGCAGCAGCTGGCCCCTACATCTATACACTCCTGACCGGAAAGGCCCTGGAGTGTGTGGAACACCTGGATCCCACCTCTTACCAGAAGGAAGGAGGTGACACTGTGTTGCTGGATTTGCTTGACAAGCGTTTTCCAGAGAAGGACAAGACCGATGAGCTAGGTGAGATGCTTACAGAAGTCTTTGGTCTCAAGGTGCAGAACAACGAGACCGTCAAAGGCTGGATTGGCCGAGCTTCCGAGCTGTTTGACCGCCTGAGCAGAAAAACCGAAGAGGCTCGTGGATGGTTGTTGCTCAACCGATGCGGCCTCACCGAGGAACAGAAGGCCGTTGTGTTGGCCCGTGCTCATGGCAAACTCCAGAGAGAGGAGATTGGGCGAGCTTTGCGAAGCTGCTATCCAGAGATGGTTTTGGGTACCCGTCGCTCAGCCGCAGCTCATGTGGTGGATGATGAAGGCGGCGGGTCTCCTGGCGCAAATGCAGACCCTGAGATCGAATTCCAGGACATTGAGCAGTTCCTGACCGAACATGGTCACCAGGCTGATGCCCTACCGTCCACAACGGACGAGAGCTTCCATGAGGATGATGTAGCCGAATGCCTTGCCGTTACTTGGAAAGAGAAACGTGCCGAGATCAACCGACTGCAGAAGGCCCGAAAGTTTCAGCAGGTGAAGGAGCTGAAGCGTCAATTCAGAGTGGAGGTGGAAGAGATTAAGCGCAAGTCTCGTTGCCACAAATGTCAGAAACAGGGTCATTGGGCTCGAGAGTGTCCGTTCAAAGGAGGAACACAGTCCAGCTCTTCGACAACAACCCCTGGCGCAAAGAGCAGTGCAAAGCCGAATGCATCAGGCGCAGCATACGTCCAGAGTGTGTCAGAACCGGAGGTCCACTTTGTTGCAGCAGTGGCCAGATGCGACTCACTCTTGGACCGGCTTCGTTCACTGGTGATGGGACGACAAAGTGATGCGCATCTGCCTCAGCTGAATGTCATGCATGAGACCCTTTTGGTCTCTTCACCTGGTTTTGGAGTTTTGGACTCTGGATGTGGCAAAACCATTATTGGCGAAGATACGCTCGAACAATTCCAGCAACTGTGGTGTGCACAAGGCATGAAGATCCCCTCAAGGGAACCTGAGATTAACCACTTCAAGTTTGGAAATGGACAGCATGAAGTTTCTCAACACTGCATCAGTATGCCTATTTTCATTGGCGAAAGACGTGGTATTCTCAAGGCCGCAATTGTGAAGGGGTCTGCTCCCCTCCTTGTGTCTCGACCAGCGCTTCGAGCTCTTCAAGCCAAGATTGACTTTGCGAATGATCAACTGGTAGTGTTTGATGATAAGATGAAGATCCCCCTGACTACCAATGCTGCCGGTCAATATGTGCTGAATGTGATGAAGAATCCAACTGAATCCAAGCCCGGTACAGAGGTGTTGATATCTTCCTCATCTGATTCAAGTGAAGACACTGCCGTGCTGCCCTCAGAGGATCCTTCACCAGACATTGCTGAAGCTTCTGGAGATCAGCCCTGCCTCTCAAGCTCCTCAACTCCGCATCATGTGGTGATCCAGTGCCGAGAGGACTTTGGGTTGACGAAAACACCAGTTTCCTTAGCAGTTCATGATTCAAAGTTTTGGCAGTATGTGTTCAAGAGGGTCGTGGTTGATAAAGATTCTAACAAGGTTTTGTACTCTGATTCAGTTGATCCGAAGAAACCCCGAAAACTGCTGCTTCGAGATGTGCCTTCAGATGTTAGTCATGTAGTCACGAGATTTCATCTGCGTCTCCCTGTAGACCTGGAATGTCCTTCCGACTTGACTGAGCATAATGCCTGGAATCTCACTAGCCATCAAATGCGACAGTTAACATCGCAAATTAAGGCTGCCGCAGCAGTAGAGCCAGCGACACATGAGCGACCATTGGTGGTTGAGGTGTTTTCACCACCGCGTTTCGCTCCCACAGCACAGGCCAGAGGTTTTGTTGCCAAGTCAGTCGACCTTAAGTTGGGTACGGATTTGTCATGCCCCAAGAACCGAAGTCGTTTGAAAGAAGAACTTAGGCATTCTCCCCCTGACCTGTTAGTGTTGTGTCCACCCTGCACCAATGAAAGTGGCTGGATTCATTTGAACGCCACTCGTATGGAGCGTCTGGAGTTTCTCAAGAAGAAAGCGCAGAGTAGAGCCTTCATTCGTTTTTGCTGTGATTTGTTTCGTCAACAAGTGAGTTTGGGAGGTCGTGCAGTGTTTGAGCACCCCGCTCCATCACAGATGTGGCAATATCCTGAAGTTCAGTCCTTGTGCCGACGATACTTTGTGGCCAAGTTGCACATGTGCCAATATGACATGCGTTTACCTGGAAGTGACCACTTCATCCTTAAAGCAACTAAACTGTTGTTAACTCATGAAGACATGATGTCACTTGGTAAATTGTGCCCTGGGTCCTCTGATCCACAGCATGCATGCCACGATGTCATAGCCGGTAGCCATCCGAAAGTGGGAGCTGTCAGCACTTTTGCAGGTCAGTATCCGCCCAAGTTTGTACAGGCCGTGCTTGAGACAGTCCCCAGATTCCGCGATCAAGAGGTTCTGACGTTGTCTTGCGATGATGTTTCTGAAAAGCAATGGCACGATGTTACCGAAGTTTGTGCCATCACTCGCGAGCAACCATCCGAGGCCCAGATGATGCAAACCTTGACTAAGCTCCATAAGAACTTAGGTCACCCACCCAATGCTGACATGGTGCGTTTGTTGAAACATGGACAAGCCTCGGATCATGCTTTGAACCTGGCTCGCAAATTCACTTGCCCCTTTTGCCAAAGCAGAGAGAAGCCGAAGACACCTCTCCCTGCTAATACGGATCGGGTGTGTGAGTTCAACAAACAGATTGGAGTGGATGTCAAGTATCTGCAAGGTTGGAAGACAAATCAAAAGATTAAGGCTTTGAATGTCGTAGATCAAGCTAGCGGTTTTCAACGCATGATTCCTTTCTTTGAGAACGAGACATCAAAGCTGTTGCGTCGTTTGTTGGATGAACATTGGATCAGCTGGGCTGGTATTCCAACTGAGATCATCTTGGATCCTGCTCAGACCAACCTCGCAGATCCGATGACAGGTACAGCTGAGGAACAGGGTTGCGTGGTTCGACAAATCGCAGCTGATGCACACTGGCAACTTGGAAAGACTGAGAATCATGGTGGTTGGTTTAATCGCATCCTACAGAAGATCATAGATCAACATAGCCCATCCTGTCAATCAGAATGGTTGGAGTGCGTTACTGCCGCCCATGTCAAGAATAGCATGATTCATGTCCATGGCCACACACCTCATCAGTTTGTTTTCGGTCGTAATCCAAACGTTCCCTCCAACTTGTTAGATGAGCCTCAGCAGGTAATTCCTGGAACAGTGTCATTAACTGATGAAGCCATTGAACGTGCTCAGCGAATCCGAGCCACTGCCCGACATGCTGTGCTGGATCTTCAGGATGACCGGTCTCTTCGCAAAGCTTTGTCTGCCCGGCCCAGGACTTTTCGAGATTTCCGACCAGGCGACTTAGTGGCCTATTGGCGTTCCCAGAAGTGGATCAAGGGAGAGTTGCAAAATGAGTGTCGTTGGTATGGCACTGCAATTGTCTTGGGAAATGTTGGCAGAAATCTGGTGTTAGCTCATCGAAAGCAAGTGTTGCGTTGTGCTCCAGAGCAGGTTCGTTTTGCAACAAGCGAAGAAAGGACTTTGGTAGGTACACCACAGGCTGAGCTACTGGGAATCAAGGACCTAATCGAAGGAGGTGCTTTTAAGAGTCAACAATATCTCGATTTGGTGCCCCAGTCATATCCGACAGAACAGTCTCCAGTGTGTAGCTCGCCGGGGTCAGCCAGTAGAGCAGCAAGTGTGCCCGCTGGTCCAACGCCTGAGAGTGTACAGTCAAAGCCTGGGTCTGCAGCAGTGCCGGCTGAGAGACCGATCGAGCCGAACATGCAGTCTGAAGAGCCAGATGCCAGTCAATTGGATTCACAGGCCATCTTGTCGCCTCCTGAGACGCCACCACCTTTTCAAGAAAATATAACTCCACATGCCAAGGTTCCAGGCAATGAGGTCGGTTCCGAGGCTAGTTCCAGTAGTTATGGTCCAGTACGTAGGCGAGTGTCCGGCAAAGATGGCCCTCAATCCATTTGGCGTCCCGCTGCTCTTCGGCAGGATGATTTTGTCGATCTCATGAAGGAAGTTGTGCCAAAACTCATAGTTGACATGTCCACTGCCCCTGATGCCAGCATGCCAGAATCATCCAAGCGTGCGCACGAAGAGGCAACTGAGCCTTCTGATTCTTGTCCGGAACCACCAGTGTCCAAAGCCCGAACTGAACCAGCCACAGAGGTTCTCTCAGTGGAATGTTTGAACAGCGACCACCTTGACCTGGAAGTGCTATTAGCTGACTACCTTAAGAAGAAGATGCAGAAGGAGTTGCCACATAGTAACAACCACCCTAGTCTGCAAGCCAAGGTCGATGCTGGTAAGAGAGATGAATGGCAGACTTTGTTGAACAAAGGCAATGTTGTTCGTTTGCACTATGGCAAAAAGGCACGTGAGATTAAAGAAAAGTTTGGCCACCGTTTTATTGGTTCTCGGTTTGTGCTCACCCGTAAAGCTGTCGATGAAGAGAAGCCAATTGACAAAACTGATCCTAACACCTTCACGGTCAAGGGTAGGTGGTGTCTTCAGGGTCATTTGGATCCTGATCTGGATGTCAAAGCTGAGGAGGGCCGCCTCAAATCTCCCACGTTGAGCCAGATAGGTAGAGTAGCCTTGCTTCAATTACTGTCTTCTCTGGGTTGGGTCATGCAACTTGGTGACATCAAAGGTGCGTTTCTGGAAGCTGGTGCCCTTGAAGATCGTTTTAGACCTTTATATGCCCACCATCCTCCCGGAGGCATTCCCGGTTTAGATAGTGAAGCCGTCATCGAAATAGTGGGAAATTTATATGGCCAGAACGATGCCCCTGCAGCTTGGTTCCAAACCTTCGACCGAGAGCTTAAAGCCCTTGGTTGGACACCCAGTGCTTTTGATGCGTGTCTCTATCATCTGAGAGACTCTGACAATCGTCTTATCGGTCTGCTTGGATGTCATGTAGATGATTGCATGGTAGGTGGATCTGGTCCTCAGTTTGACGCCTCCATCGAAGCCCTGCGCAAGAGGTTTCCATTCAGAAAGTGGAGAACTAGCTCCGGTGAGTTTTGTGGTGCTTTTTATAAACAAGACCCTGATGGCACCATCCATATGTCGATGAAAACGTTTGCACAAAACCTGCGTCCAGCTTCTATCCCCAAAGGTGCATCTTCAGAAAAATGTTTGGAACCTCATCAGGTGAAAGTACTTCGTGCAATCAATGGGAGCCTGAATTGGCTGTCATCCCAAGGCAGACCTGATTTAGCAGCTCAAACCAGCTTGAGTCAGCAGAGTTTTCCAAACCCAAAGATGAAGCACTTGAAACAAGCCAGCAATATCGTTCGACGTGCGAAACAGCATAGCGATCTTTCTCTGACTTTTTCACCCATTCCAATTGAGTCATTGACAGTAGTTTGTCACTCTGATGCAGCTTTTGCTAACGTTGGTAATCACACTCAAGCTGGTTACGTTATTGCGTTTGCACATGAGTCTTTGAACAATGGACAAATGGTCCAATGGAATCCTGCAGTTTGGAAAAGCTTTCGCTTAGCCAGAGCAGTATCCTCGACATTAGCTGCCGAGTCTCAGGCGATGTCAATCGCATCTGGTACAGTGGAATGGTTGATGCTTATCATTGCTGAACTTTTGGACGGTCCTTTCAGTGTGAGGCAGGCCTGTGATGTGTTGAAACGAAGATCTCCAATTTTGGTAACTGATTGCAAATCGTTGTACGATCATCTTGCTTCACCTTCTAGCCCCACTGCCGTGGAGGATCGAAGCACCAGCATTGATATTACCATAATTAGAGAAAGCATCCGTAATGCCTCTATGCATGTTCGTTGGGTGCCTACAGACCGAATGTTAGCCGACAGTCTAACAAAAGATGCCGGTGACCCAGTCGATTTGTTGCGCTCATGCATGAGAAGTTCCAGTTATCAGATTTCTCCAGAGTCAGAAGTTTTGGATAGACAGGCCATGGAAAAGCAAAGACGTTTGGGTAAAACACCTCAGTTTTCCGATGTTGGTGCTGACAGTCCACAACTCCAAAAATAGTGACTGCAAGATGTCAGAACCATTGCATCCGTTTTTTGCATGTTTTGAGTTTTTGTGACCTTGTAAAAGCAAGCAAACAATCACAGATAGCGCGCCTTTCTCCATCTGATGCAAATGCTTGTGGTAGAAACATTGCTGGGTACGATGTGGGATTTTGCGTAAGCCTGTGTTCTGAATTCGTGTTATCGAGCTCTCAAACCCGAGTCCTGCGTTTATTTTTCTGCATTGAAGATACAGTAGTTTGTGTACAGTGCTCATGTCGCTTAGCACTTTGTCTTCGACGGAGTTGTCAAGCCTGAAGTTTTTGTTGCTTAAAGCGCGGCAGTCTGGTGTGCTTGAAGAGCTCCTTACTGGTGTGAAAGCCTCCACGATCATTGGAGATGGTGATTCTGATGCCTCCTGGGATCCTCTTACTCAGGGAGCCATGACCGATGCCAGCAAGCGTCAGCTGTCCCCTCCGCCGGACGCTGCAGCGAAGTCTGGAAAGACCGGCGCAAGCTCTATGGAAAGCTTGTCAGTGACAGTGACGGCGGCTCAGTGGCATCAAATGGATGCATCAGCTCATGGACAATTGCCCAGCCAGGTGCCATCCTGTCGCCAATGGGCACAGACCATTATCACCGCATTTGCCACCATGGTAGTGTTGTTTGGAGTACAACCCCCAAAAAAGCAGACTTTCCCTGGGTACAATATCTTTCCATTATTGCCATACCCAGAAGCCAACCGCATGAAAAAAGTAAGCGTTGGTTACTGGTTTGGAGCCTCTAGCTGTCAAATGAATCAATGTGTGCCCTGATGTAGCACAACATGACATCGCACAGAGCCAGTCAGACCAGCCACGCAAGAACACTCAAAGTGTGCAGATCAAACCTCCTTTGTCTTTGCCAGAAACATACTCATTATGAGATGCCAACACGCACAGAAAAATATGGGACCTGCAGAACACGACATCACCACCTGACTGGCAATTCTCCTGCTGCAAAAGGATTCAAAGAACTCAGTTTGAACCTGAAACAGGTACCATGGTATGAGATGGAGTCATTCCACCATCGCTTCCATATCACATTCACTGAAACAACTTCAAAAGCACAAGAAGATCAAGAAGCAAGAGCACCACCTCAAGATGTGAGTTCGGTGAGAGCCCACCGCCCTCTACATCACCTGACAGAGGGTATAGGAGCATGGAATCCACAACTCCAGCTTTTGTTCAGGCATGGCTACGAGCAGACGCCATATCTGCCGTGGTCATGGTAGGTGGAGCCAGATGCTCAGCAAGATTGACTGCAATCCAAAAGCATTCAACAAAGGTACCGCGGCTGTTTCCTTCACCTTCATTAATTGGTTCAGGTTTGGTTGTGTAGCTCTCAACTAGAGCCAGTCCTTCAACATGTACGACAAGGCTGCGAGTCTGGGAATGAGAGCTGACCGCAGATCGTGACCATAGCAATTCTTTTCGCTGCAGATCCGGTTGGCGTTGGTCAGCAATGGCAGCAGAACCAGGCCCAACTTGTTTTCGGGCGGAGGAACAGCTGCTTGCAATTTGGCATTGCTTGTCAGCATTTGGTACTATCATGCCAATTTTGCCAGAAGCTGCCCTTGCAGCAACGCTTGGAAATGCTGGTGCTGTGCTCAACTAGAGTTATGTCTATTTGGTGAGAAGCGCTTGACAAGATTCAAACAGCTATTTTGACGCTGATTGAGCAGGACGGAAACATTACACATTTTGACAGAGTGCCTGGGTGTTTTCAAGTCTTTCGCAGCGACAGGTGCCAGGTGTTGGCATCTTTGCTTATCAGCTGAGTGCAATTGGTTTCAGCCTCAGCATTCATTTACTTTCCAGATCAACTTCCTCTGAAATTTGCATTTCCACTTCCTTCCCAAGCGCGCCTTCAGCGACTCTAGCTCTAGCATTGAGCACCAAGCTTCAACGACATGCCTAGCAGACAGTGTTTGTACGTGTATGACAAGCACGAACTAGTTGTCTTAGAGTATAATTTCCCGGTCCAGGGTCCAGCAACATGTCACTGCCCCTTTTTTTTGGGTCAGAAAATGGGATACTATACCGTCCCCAAATCCACTGGTTTGGTCATCATACTCCCCATTAGCAAATGATACGGGAATATATGGGATCTCCGGACCCATGCTGTGCAAGGTGCAGTCATTGCAGTAGTCTTCCTGGCGTTTGGTCTTGCCAATACTCTCGTCGGCCTTATGGAAGCTTTGCAGAAAGTTGATACAGCTTCAAAATGATAGACTTAGCTGCAACATGCAACACTTAAGCACATGTATACGAGTATGTATGTATAATGTATGTATATTGTAATATTATATATACACGTAATATATATATATGTATATATATATATGATATGCATATATAATAATATATATATATATATGATATGCACATAATATATGTGTATATACATAATATGTATATGTATGCGTATGTATATGTGTATGTGTATGTGTATGTATATGTACACGTGCAAGTACATGTGTGTGTGTATATACATATATATATATATATATGTGAATTCCAGCAGCCATCACTCCAGGTCCTTTTACCAATGCATGTGTTCGCAGGGATCTTTCCGTCAAGCGAGGAAAACAGAGCCCGTGCGATGCTCCTGGGGGAGCTCTTGCGTTTTGATTGGTAGCGGAGCCGGGAACACCCCGGCTCCCGCAGTTAGAATAGGGAGTTCTTTTGGCCTCGCGGTGTAGGCCCAGACAGCAACCATGGCATCGGCTGGTGAAAGCGCAGGGTCCCTGAGATATTTCTCAGGAGACAATGAAGATGCCCAGGAGTACAAGAGATGGCGTGCCTGGGTGAAAAACAAAATCATCACCTTGGACAAGCTTCCAACAGCAGCAGCTGGCCCCTACATCTATACACTCCTGACCGGAAAGGCCCTGGAGTGTTTGGAACACCTGGATCCCACCTCTTACCAGAAGGAAGGAGGTGACACTGTGTTGCTGGATTTGCTTGACAAGCGTTTTCCAGAGAAGGACAAGACCGATGAGCTAGGTGAGATGCTTACAGAAGTCTTTGGTCTCAAGGTGCAGAACAACGAGACCGTCAAAGGCTGGATTGGCCGAGCTTCCGAGCTGTTTGACCGCCTGAGCAGAAAAACCGAAGAGGCTCGTGGATGGTTGTTGCTCAACCGATGCGGCCTCACCGAGGAACAGAAGGCCGTTGTGTTGGCCCGTGCTCATGGCAAACTCCAGAGAGAGGAGATTGGGCGAGCTTTGCGAAGCTGCTATCCAGAGATGGTTTTGGGTACCCGTCGCTCAGCCGCAGCTCATGTGGTGGATGATGAAGGCGGCGGGTCTCCTGGCGCAAATGCAGACCCTGAGATCGAATTCCAGGACATTGAGCAGTTCCTGACCGAACATGGTCACCAGGCTGATGCCCTACCGTCCACAACGGACGAGAGCTTCCATGAGGATGATGTAGCCGAATGCCTTGCCGTTACTTGGAAAGAGAAACGTGCCGAGATCAACCGACTGCAGAAGGCCCGAAAGTTTCAGCAGGTGAAGGAGCTGAAGCGTCAATTCAGAGTGGAGGTGGAAGAGATTAAGCGCAAGTCTCGTTGCCACAAATGTCAGAAACAGGGTCATTGGGCTCGAGAGTGTCCGTTCAAAGGAGGAACACAGTCCAGCTCTTCGACAACAACCCCTGGCGCAAAGAGCAGTGCAAAGCCGAATGCATCAGGCGCAGCATACGTCCAGAGTGTGTCAGAACCGGAGGTCCACTTTGTTGCAGCAGTGGCCAGATGCGACTCACTCTTGGACCGGCTTCGTTCACTGGTGATGGGACGACAAAGTGATGCGCATCTGCCTCAGCTGAATGTCATGCATGAGACCCTTTTGGTCTCTTCACCTGGTTTTGGAGTTTTGGACTCTGGATGTGGCAAAACCATTATTGGCGAAGATACGCTCGAACAATTCCAGCAACTGTGGTGTGCACAAGGCATGAAGATCCCCTCAAGGGAACCTGAGATTAACCACTTCAAGTTTGGAAATGGACAGCATGAAGTTTCTCAACACTGCATCAGTATGCCTATTTTCATTGGCGAAAGACGTGGTATTCTCAAGGCCGCAATTGTGAAGGGGTCTGCTCCCCTCCTTGTGTCTCGACCAGCGCTTCGAGCTCTTCAAGCCAAGATTGACTTTGCGAATGATCAACTGGTAGTGTTTGATGATAAGATGAAGATCCCCCTGACTACCAATGCTGCCGGTCAATATGTGCTGAATGTGATGAAGAATCCAACTGAATCCAAGCCCGGTACAGAGGTGTTGATATCTTCCTCATCTGATTCAAGTGAAGACACTGCCGTGCTGCCCTCAGAGGATCCTTCACCAGACATTGCTGAAGCTTCTGGAGATCAGCCCTGCCTCTCAAGCTCCTCAACTCCGCATCATGTGGTGATCCAGTGCCGAGAGGACTTTGGGTTGACGAAAACACCAGTTTCCTTAGCAGTTCATGATTCAAAGTTTTGGCAGTATGTGTTCAAGAGGGTCGTGGTTGATAAAGATTCTAACAAGGTTTTGTACTCTGATTCAGTTGATCCGAAGAAACCCTGAAAACTGCTGCTTCGAGATGTGCCTTCAGATGTTAGTCATGTTGTCACGAGATTTCATCTGCGTCTCCCTGTAGACCTGGAATGTCCTTCCGACTTGACTGAGCATAATGCCTGGAATCTCACTAGCCATCAAATGCGACAGTTAACATCGCAAATTAAGGCTGCCGCAGCAGTAGAGCCAGCGACACATGAGCGACCATTGGTGGTTGAGGTGTTTTCACCACCGCGTTTCGCTCCCACAGCACAGGCCAGAGGTTTTGTTGCCAAGTCAGTCGACCTTAAGTTGGGTACGGATTTGTCATGCCCCAAGAACCGAAGTCGTTTGAAAGAAGAACTTAGGCATTCTCCCCCTGACCTGTTAGTGTTGTGTCCACCCTGCACCAATGAAAGTGGCTGGATTCATTTGAACGCCACTCGTATGGAGCGTCTGGAGTTTCTCAAGAAGAAAGCGCAGAGTAGAGCCTTCATTCGTTTTTGCTGTGATTTGTTTCGTCAACAAGTGAGTTTGGGAGGTCGTGCAGTGTTTGAGCACCCCGCTCCATCACAGATGTGGCAATATCCTGAAGTTCAGTCCTTGTGCCGACGATACTTTGTGGCCAAGTTGCACATGTGCCAATATGACATGCGTTTACCTGGAAGTGACCACTTCATCCTTAAAGCAACAACTGTTGTTAACTCATGAAGACATGATGTCACTTGGTAAATTGTGCCCTGGGTCCTCTGATCCACAGCATGCATGCCACGATGTCATAGCCGGTAGCCATCCGAAAGTGGGAGCTGTCAGCACTTTTGCAGGTCAGTATCCGCCCAAGTTTGTACAGGCCGTGCTTGAGACAGTCCCCAGATTCCGCGATCAAGAGGTTCTGACGTTGTCTTGCGATGATGTTTCTGAAAAGCAATGGCACGATGTTACCGAAGTTTGTGCCATCACTCGCGAGCAACCATCCGAGGCCCAGATGATGCAAACCTTGACTAAGCTCCATAAGAACTTAGGTCACCCACCCAATGCTGACATGGTGCGTTTGTTGAAACATGGACAAGCCTCGGATCATGCTTTGAACCTGGCTCGCAAATTCACTTGCCCCTTTTGCCAAAGCAGAGAGAAGCCGAAGACACCTCTCCCTGCTAATACGGATCGGGTGTGTGAGTTCAACAAACAGATTGGAGTGGATGTCAAGTATCTGCAAGGTTGGAAGACAAATCAAAAGATTAAGGCTTTGAATGTCGTAGATCAAGCTAGCGGTTTTCAACGCATGATTCCTTTCTTTGAGAACGAGACATCAAAGCTGTTGCGTCGTTTGTTGGATGAACATTGGATCAGCTGGGCTGGTATTCCAACTGAGATCATCTTGGATCCTGCTCAGACCAACCTCGCAGATCCGATGACAGGTACAGCTGAGGAACAGGGTTGCGTGGTTCGACAAATTGCAGCTGATGCACACTGGCAACTTGGAAAGACTGAGAATCATGGTGGTTGGTTTAATCGCATCCTACAGAAGATCATAGATCAACATAGCCCATCCTGTCAATCAGAATGGTTGGAGTGCGTTACTGCCGCCCATGTCAAGAATAGCATGATTCATGTCCATGGCCACACACCTCATCAGTTTGTTTTCGGTCGTAATCCAAACGTTCCCTCCAACTTGTTAGATGAGCCTCAGCAGGTAATTCCTGGAACAGTGTCATTAACTGATGAAGCCATTGAACGTGCTCAGCGAATCCGAGCCACTGCCCGACATGCTGTGCTGGATCTTCAGGATGACCGGTCTCTTCGCAAAGCTTTGTCTGCCCGGCCCAGGACTTTTCGAGATTTCCGACCAGGCGACTTAGTGGCCTATTGGCGTTCCCAGAAGTGGATCAAGGGAGAGTTGCAAAATGAGTGTCGTTGGTATGGCACTGCAATTGTCTTGGGAAATGTTGGCAGAAATCTGGTGTTAGCTCATCGAAAGCAAGTGTTGCGTTGTGCTCCAGAGCAGGTTCGTTTTGCAACAAGCGAAGAAAGGACTTTGGTAGGTACACCACAGGCTGAGCTACTGGGAATCAAGGACCTAATCGAAGGAGGTGCTTTTAAGAGTCAACAATATCTCGATTTGGTGCCCCAGTCATATCCGACAGAACAGTCTCCAGTGTGTAGCTCGCCGGGGTCAGCCAGTAGAGCAGCAAGTGTGCCCGCTGGTCCAACGCCTGAGAGTGTACAGTCAAAGCCTGGGTCTGCAGCAGTGCCGGCTGAGAGACCGATCGAGCCGAACATGCAGTCTGAAGAGCCAGATGCCAGTCAATTGGATTCACAGGCCATCTTGTCGCCTCCTGAGACGCCACCACCTTTTCAAGAAAATATAGCTCCACATGCCAAGGTTCCAGGCAATGAGGTCGGTTCCGAGGCTAGTTCCAGTAGTTATGGTCCAGTACGTAGGCGAGTGTCCGGCAAAGATGGCCCTCAATCCATTTGGCGTCCCGCTGCTCTTCGGCAGGATGATTTTGTCGATCTCATGAAGGAAGTTGTGCCAAAACTCATAGTTGACATGTCCACTGCCCCTGATGCCAGCATGCCAGAATCATCCAAGCGTGCGCACGAAGAGACAACTGAGCCTTCTGATTCATGTCCGGAACCACCAGTGTCCAAAGCCCGAA